GGAGTGTACATATCGCCTATATGTTTATTTTTTTCTATAACTAATCAGCTCTCAATGGCTCGTAATCTAAACAATGGAACATCTTTGTAGCTCACCAGTCAAGTCTTGGAGGTTGTTCGCCCAAGGGCGATGTGGTACACCCACGCGGTGTTTGATAGCCGTAGCAGCCTTTTTCAGCTTTCGAGATCTTTCGAGGGCAATACGGAGCGGTCCCCAAACTTTGAGATCATATCCACCAACCCTCATGAAATGGTCATTTTCTGCCCCGATGTTCTTTCAGTTCATGCGATCTCGGAATCGATGTTCGGGGCCAAAGATTGAACGGTTCCCACAAAAAATGGGCTTAAGCCTGGTTTCTTTTCCTTTCGCTTTTTCTGAAAGGATGTCAATTGACAGATGCAACTCGGACAGGTGTTTGAATCCAAGCTGCAAAAGCACGAAGGGATTGGTGAAGATCTCATTGTTACTTTCTAGGCTTTCACCTGACACTTGTTGTTTGAAGTTTTATTCACTTAACTTGAGGTCTGAACACAGAGAGCTCGGAGACAAGGAAATCCACGGCTCTGGATTTAAAATCACCCCGGGCCTCCTGAGGACAAGAGCTTTCTGAAACCATCTAATGATCTCTTGAAGCCAGCAGGGAACTACTGCAATCACTATCATTCAGGAGATCGCTGGTTCTCTTGGTATGGGCCGACTTTTGCCTGCTGTTGTAGACTAGAACCTACTAGAAGACCCTTCTAGCAGTCTATTCTCACATCTTCAGTCTCCAAGAAGTCTCCAACCCGACTTCGTTGGCTTCACGCCTTCGGACTGGAACCGAACCGAACCGCGTTCCGTCCCGGGAAATTCCGGGGGGGCCGCGAGCGCGAGCGCGATCGCCCCGTCTCGAAGGCTTCCGCCGTAGCTAGCAGCTTGGGGCCTGAGTTGTCGACCCCGAAGTCACCTCAACTGGTGAGAGACCCCTTCCGTCGCACGAGAGTGGCGCTCCCACGGAGCCGTGGAGTCGGAAGCAGTTGTTGGAGCCAGAAAGTGTGGGGAGCCGGGAGCGAGAGAGAGAGGCAGAGGAAGAGTGGAAGTGGAAGTGGGACTCTCACCAGTCAGAGAAGATGGGATCTTCTGGGGATTCTCTCGACTTTTTACACCTCCAATTCTCCAGCTCGCCGCTCCTCATCCACGCAATCCAAAAGTGGCAGGATGAAGCAGATGGGAGTTGACTCCCAAAGTACCGTGTTTATATGGTGTTTGTCAAGAGAAGGGGAGGCTGGACGGCCACAGAGATCTTCATCTCGCCGAGCTACTTTTCTTTTCGGGTACCAATTGCTGGGCTGCAGCGAGCACACCTGTTCATTCCCCAGGACTCCACAGTACCTTTCCTGGAGAACATTTCAGAGGCTGTATATTCATGTACTGTATATTCTTCAACTGGATTTGGAGACAGAACCCAGAAGGTCCTCCGGCTTTTCAAGCGACGTTGACCACTTCTGTCGCTTTGGCGACCTCGAAAATACGAGTGGTCAGCGATAGCCTCGATAGCTTTTGAAAAAAAGCGCGAGAGAGATCACTGTGCCTTGAGCGGGGTCAATCGAAGGGATATAGATTTGTTGGTGTGTGTTGTGTGCGTGTGTGTGTGTGTGTGTGTGTTGGATAGGCAGGGTATTTGCCAAGACATACCACACTCCACATTTGATTTGGATTTGTTTTCGCGGAGGGCATACTCTTGTACCCGGTACCCCAAACGAGAATCATTGTGGCACTAAATTAGCTCAGGCCACAGACCAGAAACTGGCCCTGCCTAAACCAGCATGGACACCTCCCTAAACTTGCTTTTTTGATGGGCTCACATGGGAGGACCCAGCCATTTTGCTAAGGCTTTCCGGTACCGGGAGCTCAACCCGCATTCTGAGATGTTCTCTTTCGGCGAAGAATACGCAGACAGAGGAGGGTCCTTGCTTCTGCTCGGGTTTTCTCTTCCGCACGGAGGGCAGGGCCGCAGGGCGCCGCAGGGTGCTGAGCCCAGAGTCGCGAGAGGAGCCTTTTTTTCGTTTGAAAACGGCGCTTGAGGCGTTTGAGTTGGCGCAGAAGGTCAAAGAGCAAGGCCATTCGGTGTCCTTGATCTGTGGCACGTAGGGCGCCCCAAACGTGTCTGGTTGGGGAGGCTTTCTGGTTGGGAAAGTGAAGATGAGCAGCAAGGGCCTTGAACTTGAAACAAGTTGAACATGCTTGGCTTAATTACATAAGGCTATTAAAGGCATCATTATGATTCCCAACCACTTCAGGAGCTCCTCGTGCATTCGGAAGTTCCAGAGGTCGGAAAGGGATTAGAGAAAAAGAGGATTGAGTCCTTATCCAAGTGGATAGGAAGGTGAAACGCACCAAAGCAACGCCAGGGGGGGGAAGTTGGGGAAGTTGGGGAAGTCATCATCTACGCATTATGACTCCTATGACACAGCGACGTTTTCAACAACTGTCGCACTACGTGCCATCGAACCCACGGGCTTGGCGAGAGAGCAAGGGGTCTGGTCTTAGGGTCATGCTCTGACGTGACAGCTCCGATCATTTTGTCGGGTTGTGGTGCTTTCCTCGATCTTCCTTCCGACAGACCCCACCTTAGGACAATGCATAGAAGTTCTATAGGACGTTCTCATGCTGACCTTCTTAGACCTTCTTTCGCTTTTAGACCGCTTGCAAGGACGGCCTTCTCAACGTGGCGGCAAGTCATGAACAGACTCAAGTCATGTGGCCCGGTGCCGGAGGTCTTCCCCCTTGCGCCAAGCGCTTCCGTCTGTTGCCTCGCCCACGGGATCGGAAGCCCCCGGGGTGGGACGACCCCCTCGCCGCCCACGCGCAGCGAGCCCGCGCATCTGGCGGTGGCTCCAAGGCAGCAAGCGAATGGCGAGGAGAGGATGGACCCTGCCATGCACGGACACCCGAAAAACTGGTCATGTCCCCATGGGCGGTTCGGGTGCCCTCCATGTTGAGATGGTTTCTGTATTGTGGAGAGGCAAAATGGTAGAGCAGTGGAGCTTGTTGCAGTTGGAGTTTTTGTGATCAGCTGTTTTGGTGGGTGGCCGGATGCCAGAAAACACCAGCTTACTCTCCATCAGCAGCGAGCTTTGCACCCAGGTGGTCTCTTTGAGATCTGTGGATTGGCGCGCTCTCCCTCCTCATGGTCTCTTGAACCGCCAAGACACTTCATCTACAACCCTAACAAGCTTAGTATGCTTAGTATAAGGAAGAGACCCAAGTTGATCTAGAATCTAGATCTAGAAGGAGCTGTTCACACGCAAAGGAGTCCGATTTGCATGGACCTTAACGAAATGTCAAAAAAAAAGGTCGCGGCAGATGCAACGGTTTCTGCTAGATGCGACGTTCTAGGTGGTGGGCTTTCAGAATCCCCAACCCTCAGATGGATCAAGATGTGGCCTCCATGTTTTCACCAAACCTCCGTCTTTCCCAACCGAACCCCACCCCTGGGTCTTTCCCAACCTCTGACCGACCCGATCCGCCACCTCATCCACCGCACGAGCCCGGAACAACCACCGGCCCCCGGAACCGAGGCGTGACCAAGTGATGTCGGAGTTCCGGAACGGCGTCACGCGGGTGCGCGACCGGGGGGGTCCATCTGCAGCGACGGAGCGACGGCCCAGACGCCTCATGATGAGTCGATCGAAGAGGAAGACACAACGGAAACGGCAGACGCCGCGTGTCGCCGGGTTCCGGAAGGTTTTTCCCGGACACCAGGCCCCCCGTTTGAAGGAAGGCGGCCGTCGCGGTCATTCCTTACCAGCGGTCCGTCGCCGTGGGTTTGTCGTTGACCTTCTGCTATATAATAGGTCTTGCCGTACGGGCGGCTTGGTTTGACAGGGGATGTCTGACTTCGGAGTGCAAGTGTTTTCTTTTTCAACCTGAAAAGTGGCGTTTGGAGACGGGCATAGTACTAAAGTACTTCCGGCCAACACGTACCCCCCCTGACCCACGGCCAAACATCAAGACATAGAACAAGTGCCTAAGAGCATGACGCGTCATTTTCAGACACATACAACAATGAAGCCTTCTGACATCAGTACACTCTGCAAAACTACCAGCAGTTCCAAAGGGATTGGAGGAAGTCAGGGTGCCCATTCTCCACTCACTTAGGACTAGAAACTGGCTCGTCTTTTTCAATGTCTTCAAGACTATGCCTACGCCGTTTACGCATGTTTACGCCTCCCTTTTCACAACGGCTTCCAGCTCGGGAGGTGTAAATGCACCGATCGACGAGCTGGAAAAGGAACACAGACACCTGGGGCTGCGAGAAAGGGTTGCTCTGAGAAGTTCTACAGCCCTAGACTTCCAACAACCTTTAATTTATATAATAGGCTTTACCGAATCAACTAACTAAGGGTATTACACTACAAAAAACAGGTCATCTTGTCTAGGGCAGTATTCTTTTTCAACTGCTCCTGTCTCCAGCACCAGTAGCTTTCAGCCGCTGAAATCTCACAACGCCCGTGGCGTGGCCAGGTGCTCATCGCCACCGATGTGCTCTCCCGGGGCATCGACGTGCCGCAGGTGCCATTTCACCGGTGCGCGCGGCCGCGGGCGGGGAAGCAAGTCAAGCAAAAGGGTCTTCTGAAAATCAGTCAGAAGCCATAGCACGCCCCTTTTACGAGGTACCAGGTAGGACATGTTTGGACCATGTCAAAAGCATCTCAGCAACATGGTGATATTCTCGTGCCATGGAGAACCTAAGATCATGTCATGTCAGGAATTCGGAATTCACATCAAGGCAGTGCTGTTATTTCTTGGCCATTTTTCTTTGTTGTTCTGAGGGATTGTGGCTGGAATTCCACAATCATTGACAACCTGTACATGTTCTGGTCAAAAGAATGCCCGCAATTTCCGCTTGCCGTTGCAGTCTCAAGCTGACAGCTCTAACACGTCTGCAGCGGACTCGCCGACTCGCGCGTTCTCGCTGGGCCAAACGTGTACAGTGATCAGCTGGGCCGAATTCGATCATGGCTGGACGGTTTGCAGGAGCCTGGGCGCTTGTTGCCTCGATGGGGGAAAAAGAGGGCCCTTAGCTGGGGAGCTTGCGATCTGGATGTTTAATTCGATTGTGATTTCAGGCAAGTCAAACATGTGTTGGTTGCGACCGTCTGGTTCGAGGGATCAACGAGTGCCGGAGTCCCGCCATGTACGTTGATTTGAGACAATTGGGATGCGAGCTTCCATAGGTTTGTGCTAATTGTATCACACATGGGGGATGTATTCATGGAAGGGCTTGCAGCGTCGGTTGTTTGTGTCTCCACCTCCCATGGACTCATGGACAACTCTCCAGACATTTCCTGCAGCATTACATTCTTGAGGCCTGAGGCCCTGTAGGTCTTTATCCGGTGCTTCTCCTTTTGAATGGACATCCCCAATCATGTTGACCATCCACTGCGCGCAGTCGATCCTCACTCGTTCAGAGAGTCGGTGTGGGTTTTCAGGACCCTCAAGGAGACGACCCTTCGTAGCGAACCGACACCTTCTTCGGAACTGAAACCACGGCGTCGCGCGTCGCGTCCGGCGTCGTTTTCGTTTGCCACCCGGCCCAGTCGTGTCGCGAGCGCGAGCGCGCCTGGGTCACCCTCCCCTCGCCACGCGGGTCCCGGAGGAGCCCTTCTGCTCGTCGCGGGTCTGGTTGGGGCCATGGACAGTGAGGTGGAGGAGCCACTTTGGGGGAGAACGCCCCGCGTCCAAACACCAAGAGGTTTGGGAGGGGAAGGATGTGGTGAAAGGTAGGTTGGTGGAAATAGGGAACACTGATATGATGTAATAAGGTTCACTAAAGCCAGAGGTCAACACAAGCCTTCTTTCTTTAGACATGAACAGGAGAACCAGATGAAGCTTTGCAGCTTTGCCCCCGCACCATATGAACTCATTTGCTACTGGGAGGCTTCTCTTGCATTCAGGTTCTCTTTGGCAGAGGTTTGGTGCTCAGAAACCGGATTTTTCGCCTCCCAAAGCGAGATGGAGCAGATCTCCAAGGCATATGCCAACCTCCCCCTGCTCTTGATTTCCAGGTGTTCAGGATCTTTGGAGTGTTGGGGCGCTTCAACCTCAGAAGCAGAATCGGCACATGTTCCACTGGGCCGTTGCTCCTAACCCCCCCATCCCACCTCCGCGGCGACACTTCCAGGACCTCTTCCGCCGCTTCGCTGGACTCACCCACAAGGCTTCGGGCGCACAAAACGGGGGAAAGACACCTTGGGTCCCCAGCGGTGGAAGGGTGAAGATTTGGTGCTTTGCAAGTTTCTTCTGAGGCCCGTTATGTACCTGCTCAGGGCTGGGAAGAACTCCTTGTTTCAAAGAAAGTCAATGGGCAGCTTGACCTGCGCCCTAAGCTGATGACCCGTGATGAGTTGGTGTTCTTGCCCGATGAGACTTCCCCCGGGATCCGCTTCATGTGGCATGTGAGCGTTCCGAATTTTTTTCGCCGTCCTTCGATCCGGCAGCTGTGGGCAGGCACCTGCAGTTTTGCTCTTCAATTTCCAGTGATCTTCCAGTCCCAAGTAAGACGATCGCGTCCGATCGCTCCGTTCGTGTCGCGATGCCAAGTAGCGTCTCTTCGTAGCGTCCGATCGCTCCTGTTCGTTTGGGTCTCTTCCTCCGGAGGCCATCGCGTCAGTACTTTGTCAGGCCGTGGATCCGTTGCACGACGTGAAGCTCCCGAGCTTGGACGGTGTGCAGGTCGGCATGCCACGGTCGGTCACAGGGGGGGGTAGTCCGGTGAGTGCATAGGAAAAGTGGAACCCTCAAGCACAGAAGTCCCTGAAGCAGATGTCCATGTACCAGCACCCGACTTCACAGGTCACCACCTGACACTTTTAAGTCTCCAAAAGCCTCCAGGAGACCTGTTGGAGGGTGCTGGTAGAGGAAGCCTATTTAGTTCATTTTAGTTCCCCAAGCAGTGTGGGCAAACTGAGGGGTTCTTGCGGTAGGAGAAAGGAAGCTGATGCTTAGATCGCTGAAGCGCGCCGCCGTGAACGGCTAATTCGCTGCTATTTACAGTACATTCATGGTTCTTGACATCATCCATGTGCATTTCGACTGCGCCGGCTCGCAGAATCTGGGGGCCCGCGGCGGGTGCTTCTAACGACTGCGCTCTCGTTGTGGTGCCGTGCGCATTTTGGGTACATGGTGGTCACTTTTCGTGGCAGGCGCAGGGGAAACCTCGTGTTTTGGTGCTTCAAAGTCGACTTTTCGTGACAGGTGCAAGGGATCGGAGCTGTTTTACTTCGAGATGGAGTTTTCGTGGCAGGTGCAGCACTTCGGACATGTTGGTGATCGTCGAGGAGCTCAGGTTTCGTGACAGGTGCAGTGAATTGTGACTTTTGGACATGTGGCTCGTTTGCAGATCACTCTGTGACCCTCGATGTGCAGATTTCGTGGCAAATGCAGCACTTTGTGAACCTCGAAGTGCAGATTTCGTGACAGGTACAGCACTTTGTGAACCTTTGAAGTGCAGATCTTTCTAGAGTTTCTGTGGCTGCTTCTTGAGTGGTCTCTTCAACTGATGGAACACAAGAAAAGGAGCTAAGCAAAGCTAAGAAAGTACTTCTTTAGAGTACTGGAGCTCCTGCAGAATTCACATGATAATGTGGGGGATGATGTTGCCAAAATCATTGTGGTTCATTTGACAATTGCAATGGCATAACACACACATGGATATTGAAAGCACTTAACTCACATCCCAACTTAACTAACCAACAGCCCAAACAATCCCAAAAAACATACACAACCAACCAACAAACCAACCAACCAAAACACCAACCAACCAACCAACCAACCAACCAACCAACCAACCAATCAAACTTACAAGCAAGCCAGCAACCAACCAACCACAAACAAACTAACTAATATCACTTTGAAACTGAAAGCTTTAAGGCTTAGAACCCACACTTCACAAGACCAAGACCACACCACACCAGTGAACAAACAAACTGCTATGCTTCTACCAAGTCTTTACTTCTTTTCTTTTGGAACTTCACTTCATAGTAGGCCTGTGTTCATGAAACACTGAGACAACCATGACACTGTCAGTGGATGCCAAAGAGAACTTGTGTAGCTTGCTCCAGGCCTTCTGTTGAGCTAGGGGTATGGCATGACAATTGGTAGAGGAGCTTTTGCACCAGACACTACCCTGAAAGTGGCTTGAATACCACTTGGGTGAATGCAAGCCAGCTATGTCAGCTTATGTTCAACCCCTTGCAAAGATAAAGACTTTGGGCTTGGAATAGCTAAGCTTTTCTTAGCTTGGAATAGTTATATTCACGTCGCTTCGCGACGGTAGCCGCCCGCACCGCATGGAAGGGGCCAATATTTCAGTGACTTCTAGGGCTATGTTAGGCAATATCTTCACTCTATTCCAGTCCCTTTTGAGCCTTCGTTGGGCCATGTTTACGACGTTCAAGTACCTATCTCGGGGAAGCATACTTGAGATAGTGTTTTCTGGGGTTATGTTCGACCATATGGGAGCTATGCTCGTGAGTCTGCTCCTGACAACCATTCCTGGACCTTATCTTTCCTTATCTCTGCTCCTGACCAGCCACGTACCCGGACGTTCAAGTCCCTATCTCGCAGACACGTCCGTTAGATAGTGACTTCTAGGGCTATGTTACGCAATATGGAAGCTATGTTGAGCCCCGTTAGGGGCACCTGTTCAGCCAAATGTCCGGCCTCAGTCCAATTACACTTTACCGCTCAGATGATGCAGATGATGCAAAGCAGAAAATTGCATTTCTTGCATCACTAAAGGCTTCAAGATAGCAAAAATTAGCACGAATTTATCTTCCAGCACTTTAAGCCGGTTCCAAAAACGTGAAAAACACAGGATTCTAGAGCGAAAATGCCCCCCCCCCTAGCTAAAGCTATTTAGTACTTGCGGTATACTTGCGGTACTTGCGGTATAATGCGCGCCTTATAAAGACGCCTCAGCACCTTCGGTGCGGGCGGACTTAATTCCTTGTAGCTTCCCTAAGCTTTTGATAGCTCTAGTACTTTACCTACAACATTGAAGCGAACACTTAGGAAGCGGTACTTCAAATGCTGTAATGAGCAGATTTCGTGGCAGGCGCAGCACTTGGTGAACCTCGAAGTGCAGATTTCGTGGCAGGCGCAGCACTTGGTGAACCTTGAAGTGCAGATTTCGTGACAGGTACAGCACTTTGTGAACCTTGAAGTGCAGATTTTGTGGCAGGCGCGGCGCTTGGTGAACCTCGAAGTGCGGATTTCGTGGCAGGCGCAGCACTTGGTGGACCTGGAAGTGCAGATTTCGTAGCAGGCACAGCACCGGGGGAGGTTGTGTCCCTTGACTGCGGTTACAGCCGTGAGTCGCTTCAACCAACCAACCAACCAACCATCCAGCCTGGAGCACAGTTGACCATCTTGTTGAATAGCTGGTGGCAGAAACTGCTTTGTTGCATTAGTCAACTACTCGCTACCCCTGCAGTTGGTGGGGGATCAGCTAGGGTGTGGACTGTCACTTGAATCATCATTGATCTCATTTTATTCTAAGTGTTCAGATGTGTTCAGTGTTTAATAAAGCAAGCGCACAACAATTCTCCTTTGGGGCAGCTTTTGGAGCCTGTTTAGAACCGCTGACTGTGACAGAGTTGCAATCTCTATGAGAAGTAAGAGGCCGCCACAAGCGCAGGCGTAGCGTTCATAGGTTGGAGGCCATCGCTATCTAGTAGGTGTGGGGTTTCAGGGGCGCGAGGAAGTGCACTCAGCGCCGCACTCGTCGCCGAAGGGAGCGACCGGCTCGGCGACGCCCTTGCCAACGCCAAGCCTGCAGGCTGCCTTCACTCATTTGGACGAGGACTCCAATGTTTCTTTTGAGGATCAGGCGCGGGCGGGCACGAAAACTCGGGTTTTGGCTGCTGTTCCCTTTCTTTTTCATGTGCGAAGACGCAGAAAAAGGAGATCGGACCATGACCATGCAGCTCCAGTTTTTTCGGGACACGTGCCACGACAGTTCGACCAAAGGCTGCGGTGAAGCACCCCACCCGCCGCGCGATGGTCCTCCAGCGGCCCTTCCAAGAGTTGAAGAGTTCCAGCGACCCCCCCAACGCCCGAAACGGAAGACCTGCAAACAACATCAAACAAATTCGTATATAGACTATTATGTTCAAGACTATATAACTATAGTTTTGTCCTAACTTAGTTCTTGACCATTCTAGTCAGTCCTGGCGTAATCACTGAGATCTTTCAGTCGCCAGGCCAAGGAGCAAGTGGCCGCCCTGGTGAACGCTGGGAGGAACTTGGAGAATGATGAGGTGCCCTGCCGCAGGGAGTGGACAGGGACTGGGACGGCTGGGGTGGCACGCATCGCGCAGGTGACTGGGAGAAGCGATGGAAGGATCCTTTGGATCATCCTGTGGATGATCTGGACAGACATCGATCCACCTTGGGAGGATCCAGCCACGGACTTTGGGGATCCTCTACGACCATCCCAACATCCATCGGTCGACCTCACTGGGGGATGATCCAGATGTTTCGGGCGCCACTGTTCCGGAAGCCTGGCCTCGGGACCGGAGGAGGACAAAGGACGAGGGTTTTTTTGGGCCGATGGGGAACTCGCATGGTCCGACTGGTTCATCGAACTTGTTCCTGTGTCCTTTTCGTGAGAGGGTGCGCAAGGGTCCACCAAACCTCCCTGGTGGATGTTAAAACATGTCAAAAAGGAGTACACTCCCTGAAGTCACATGCATGTGGAAAATAGGCCGCTGGAAAGACTCGTGTTCCTCTACAAGCAGGGCATTGTCCACTTCCATCTTCATCATTCGGAGTGTCCGGCACGACACCAGGGACTACATGATTCAGCGGTTGGTGCAGATTTGGGGTGCTCCGAGACCACACGTTTTCACCCAGTTCCCTTGCCGCGCACGAGAAACACCGGTCTTCGGGTTTCCAGCGCTCCAACGGAGGGTGAAGGGATCGACGAGTGAAGACCGGCTCGGCCGGCCTTCACTCGGACCGCATGGCCCAGGGCGTGGAAGACAGCCAGTCTTTCTTGGAACGCGGGCAGACTTGCAAGAGGCGCCTGCGCCCGGGGTCCGGGGCATCGGTTCGGGGGAGAGCCACCGACCCTGGCAGCATGGGGGTTTTCCCTAGTAAGGGGGGTTGCGAAGAAGCGCTCGGTTGAAGAGCCTCATTGCAAGAATAGGGAGAAGGATTGAGTGCTTTCTTGGCCAAAGGAAGCCTTTTCCTAAGCTTTCCAATGTGGTGTAAAGCAGAGAAGCAGGGCAAATTTCGACAGATCCCCAAATAGGGTGAGATGACTGTCGTGACGAATCATCCCACAGCCTTCAGGAAGTGCCAGAAGAAGATGAAGAAGCACTTGGGCAATACTTGCGGCCTGGCTTCATCTTGCGGAGCGGGCCTTTGGAACCCAGGTCCAAAGACCCAGCAAAACCTTGTCCTTCCCCTCATTGAGAAATGTTGTATCATCAACTCATCAACTCCAGTAAACATGACATGTAGGGAAAGGGAAGGCATAGGAAGAAGAGAAAGGGGCACGACCAGGGTCGGGCTGCTCACCATCTCCACAAATGGACCGGGGGCAGACTGATCGGAACAGGGGTGAGGAAATAGCTGGGACTGCAAGAATGAGCCTGAGCTGTAAGCTACTTGTAGCGGGGGATTTTATCACATCTAGTCGCAAGCTTACAGTCAATACCCAGGACGAGGTCCATCTCCCATGTGGAAGAGCATGTTCCCAAATTCGACCAGCAGGAGGATGTTGTAATACACCTTAAATATCATTAACCTCCCAAAGCCAAAGGTCCAACCAACTTGACATGGATGTGTCCTAAAATGACCCCCAAGCTGCTGCATACCTTGGTCCCTTCAACAACCCGCATTGTCCTGTCTCCTTTGTTCCTTTGAGCTGTTTCGTTTGTTGGTTCTGAGAGCGCCCATTGTCAGCCACTTCTCATCCACTTGCGTCACGTGCCCGTCACCTGCCCGTTGTCGATGCATTCCGTGCCTTGCGCCCAAAGAAGAGGCGAACACCTGGAGTTCCGTCTTGAGCATGCCCAGAAGGCGCCGAAGGGGCCGGGAGGGGAGGACACTGAGGACACCCCACCCCCTTTCTGAGCTCTCTCAGGGGGTTGATCTGGGTGCGTTCACCACCTAAAGGTGAAGGACAGATCCGCGGTGGAGGACCAGCGGGTGGTTTCCAAGTCATTCGGGTGTACCAAGGGAGGAGCACGGAGTTTGGACCACCCACCTTGGAGTTTGAGGCGATGGGCAAACATCAGACTGCTGTACTTTCGGGCAGATCTTCCGCGAGAAAAGGTCAAGTTGTTCCTTCGGACAGCGACCATCAACCCTTTGTTGATGACCGTTTTCCAAGGGCGGGGGGGGGAGTCTGCAATGTTGTTCACGCCCACCACTTCCTGCTTTTGATGGCTTGTCTTGAGAGGTGGAACATGACCATCTCATTGAATCCGTGAAGAACGCCTTAAGCGTTTGCAAGCAGAGTCGGGCTCTTAGACACCTACCTCCAGCTGACCGTCACGCGCTCCTGCCTGCTGGCGCGTTCTGGGCGGGGAAAACGGATTTGGGTGGGTTTGTATGGTGTGTTAACCTATTGAATTCGAACTCTTTCAAGGGCGCATGCCACCCGATGCGTGCAGCACCCTCTTGGGTCTTAGCACCTCAGCGCGTCGTGCCGCACCCGCCACTCAGCCGCTGAGAATTCCTCGCTCTGTATCGCATTCGTTTGCCCAAACGACTGGGATGTCTGTCCCATGAGGTGCGAAGCATCATGCTGAGTACTGCAAGTGGCAATGCTGGCGTGAGGAGCTGTGAGTGGCAATGCGGCCTCGGCCCGGCTGAGGGGTGATCCCGTTAACAACAGTTGGTGTTGTTTGGGATGTCTGGGGTGTTTTCTTCATGCCCCAGAATGCATTCCAAAACACGCGAGAATACATTTTGCGCTTCTTTTTCTTTCTGAGGGTGAAAAGCCGCAGGCCCGGCCGGGCCAGCAATCGAAGAAAGAACTCTCTCCACTGAGAGGGCTGAAGGTTATGGTGAATTCAGTGAATAGGGATGGTGTGAAGGAGACTTGCGGAGAAAAGGATGGATCCAGAAACAAGAGCAAAGGATGCAATGCAAGGCGTGGCAAGCCCTGCTATTCTTGCGGCGATGGTGTTGTTTCCTTCCACTCAAGGTTTGTTTTTTTTGGTTTGTTTCCATCCAAACTCACATTGGCATGGGGAATGAAGACCCCGTTCTATCTAAGAAGTGCTTTGGAAAACGGCACCATCACCCGTTCATACAGACCCATAGACTCAAGAACCCACATCCTGTGACATCAAGATGCTAACACGCAAGTGCCACCTTCTTTCTTCCGGAGGGGGGGGTCTCTCCTTTCCGAATGAATACACCAGAGACGCAAGCCTTCATAGACCCTCGACGCCTTCATAGACGCCCCTAGCGGGTCGGGAATCAGAGACCCTGATACTGGTAGATCCCAACTCCCCTGACGCGCCACCAGCCGAACGTTCGTGCCGTGCCGCGGGTCGAGGGGGGGGGGGCCCTTGGGGTCGAAAAGTGGTCAAGATCTGAACCAGGTGACGTTGGTGGTGAACTACGAGTTGCCCATGCAGTGGCAGTCGCTGAACATGGAGAGGGGGGACGGGTGGGCAGATGGGTGGCGGATGAGGGGTGGCAGTGACGGTGGATGATAGGTGTGGGTCAATCTGAGCTGGGTGAGCCTGGTGTTTTTTTGGAGGATGTGAAAAGAACGAGGAGGATGGGAAAAGAACGAGGAGGATGGGAAATCTCATTCTATCTAGCGCTTCCAACGGGTGTCGAATGGAGTCATTAGATCCATAAGTAGTGTGGGGTTGTCCATTAAAGGACCCCTTGGAAGCAGCTGGTACAGTATGATTCGAAGGCCAAGGAATTTAAGAGTCGTCGATCCTTCTAATAAGCTGTCAGGGATCTATGTCGTTCTAATTACATGGCCCAAGGCACGCCGAACTACCCGGTCATCGCATGTCATCGCACGCCTCATGCAATTGCTTGGACGACCAAAAGCTCCCTCACTCCTTTCCATCTTTTCCGCCTGGAAAAGCCGCCAGGAGACCTACCTGCACCGTGTTGGTCGGACCGGTAGGCCGCTGGAGCGCGGGTGGTGACACGCTCCCCTCATCGCTCATTCGCAAGAGAAGTTGACCTCGTTGAGAACGGTTTTGGGTGGTGTCCGACATCACTGGGAAGAGAAGTCATAGGTGTCATAGGGTCGTTCAATTTCTTCTCAGCCTCTGAATCTGTTTCTCAAGAGTCTCGCAAGTGCAGGGAAAGGCAGATTCTTCCGCAAAAAGCTGGTCCACACGCAATGAATCTTTTAAACACCTTCCTCCACTCCTCTTTCGTCTGAAAAAAGACACAAAGACGCACGCACCTGCACCTGCACCTGCACCCTGCTCTCCGCTGTGCGGGTCCCTCCTCGGGTCCCTCCTCTTAGCCCTTTCGTCCACAGGTTCGGCCTCAAGGGCATCGCGGTGAATTTGGTGACGCCCGCGGAGCGTCCACGGATCGATGAGGCGAACGAAGCCGTGCGACGCGGCGGAACGACGCGGAGAGAGCGCGAAGGAACGAGTGCCGCGGAACTGGTGGCACGGTGTGGAGCGAGTTCCCCAAAGCGTTTTTGGGGGGTCGAGCGGGCGTTTTGGGAGCTTGGCACGGTGTTTTGGGAGAGGACAGGACAGGTGGGGTGTGTGGGGTTGACGAGGGTCGGGTGTGCAACGGTGTTCAGGAAGGGCTACAGTATGGCCTTTTGGGATTCTTCTTGGAGATGAAGTTGTTCTGACCATGAGGAACTTGGGGTACCGGGTACAACATGTAATGAGTGTGTTGTGTCAGGGCTACAGACTTTCAGGGCCACAGCTTCCTTCACTCTGGGCCCTGAGCCTATACACTCTGGAAGCAGGATGAAATCGACACTCTCTGCCATGAAGAGAGTAGGTCTCTTCGGCATCTCAGCTCTCAACGTTTTCAAGCCTCCAGGTATTGTGTATATTTGCGTATTAAAACCCTTCTTTGTTGATTCATCTAAGAGTCTACATGAGTTGGACTGGGTCAAAAAGACTGGTGAACAGGTCGAGCTCCCGAAGATCCCTTTACACCTCCCTCCCGGTCCCGAGTCGTCGGCACCTCGCGGCACCGGATCGGGACCTGCCGGGCCCCGGTGCTCGGGCCGCCCCCAACTGACGCGCGCGGGCCGTTTGAGCATGGCGGCAGATCTGCGAGCACTACTCTTGCAAGATCACGGAGTTTAACAGCAGTTTTGACGATCTCGAGGCAAAGTACACTGATGGATGGGGGTGACCAATGGGACTTCTAGACTGGTGAGATGTGGTGAGATCACCGGCAAGGACACATGGGAGTTGGACACCGGGCCTGAATCTCCTTTGATATGTGCTTAAACTGCGGTTCTTCGGTCTTCCAACACATCAATTGCTCTACGAGTCTTGAAGCAGTTACGTTCCACACGTTTGAAGCATTTCACCCACGGATTTCGGAATTCAACGAATTGGAGCGAATTTGAGCTCCATCTCGTTGGGTCGTTGTAAGGTCCTTTCTGAAACGGACATCCCAACCCAGCTGGACGTGGGACGCTTTGAAGAGTGGCCTTCACTTGCCAGGAATCGCTTCGAAAGCTCAGATAGGTCGGCAGCCGGGGGTCGACCAGGGCGAGTTGTGCTTCGTCCACCGGTGGACGAGTTTGACCCTTTGGGCGCCCAGGACTTACATGGGTCTCATCTGAAGAATCCGAATCTGAAAGAGCCTTTTATTTATTTTTTGAACTTGTGCTTTTTGTTGTTTGGACTGGTGTTCCCAGGGTGTGCCTAAGAATACTGCCAGTTTGATATTTTTTGGCGAAGGCAAAGCAGTTACCTTCATTTATAGAGTTGTCTTTGGCTGGTGCTTTTTTCTAGACGAACCAATGAATCTCATTCTCTACAGGTCACCGGTGATTTATGTGATTCTTACGCATGCGGTCGTGTTTTTCTTCTGTCGTGGGTTGGGAGATCTCGGTCACTCGTCGCGTTGGTTCCACCAGTCTCGTGGGGGGTTCCATTGTTTGTTTGCTGCGCTGTGGAAACACCGAGCCCAACGGTAGTATGCTCCGAGCAACCTGGAGTATGCTTCGACTGGACAATGCTTCTTCCCAACCACAAGGAAGCTGAAGGGACCGTTCTGCCCACAAGCTTTGGTGGTCTCACCGGTTGTGCTGGAGAACATGACACCTTCAAGAGAACATCATGTCCTTTCGCAAGAGAATCTCCCAATCCCCCCGCCCACCCATTCCAGGTTCAGCCGAACGCGTGAGTGGCGCGAGCCCCAAGCGTTCAACAGAAGTCAGTTCTGAGATTCAGCAACTCGCCGTTTGAAAGAAAAGAGGGTTGGCAAAGGTCGGAGGGAGAAACACATGTGCTTGGAGTTGGGGTCGGTTAGTTTCATGAAGCAAAGACCAAGTCTACTTGTTACGTTTGTTTGCCTCGCGAAAAACTACCATGGAACAAAAAGAAAGACACACGAAAAACAGATGCGGGCGACTGACATATAGGGACACCCGCATGCAAGTGACCTCCAGCCAGGGGACCTTCTTTTTCCCTGAAACTGGTTACCAGTAGGCGATGCCCAGGAGCTATCTACGTTCGTTGCGTCCGATCGCCGCTCTTCGCTTGTCGCTCTTCGCTCGTCGCCCTTCGTTATCTCCCAGTCTTTTCGCTGCAAAGACGCGGTCAAACAAGATCTGATCGGTGGGATGCGGGGAAGGAGCAGGAAGAGACACTGGTGGATTTTGGGGATCCCAGCGAAACGGGCGTGAAACGGCGGCCCCCATGGATGGACTTGGGTTTCTGAGGGTTTGACAGGGAGCTCTGGATAGCTCTGGCCATTCTGGAATTTTTGTCATGACATTTCAGGGTTTGTTGATATTCCTGGACATACCTAGACCTGGAGATGGGGGCGTGCTAGATCCAATGAGGGGAGTCTACCACAAGCCAAGTATGACCAATCCACCATCCATCAGCATGTGCGAGAGTAAAGCCTTAAGCCTTAAGCCGCGTGTTTCATCTTTTGCGGGGTGCAATTTGTCAGTGCGATTCAGTACTCAGAAAGCATTTCCATTTCAGCCGTTCGCTGTGCAGAGTGGAGATGCAACGACCTATATAAAAGGGTTTTTGCACACATCTTTATGTGAGAGGAACTATTTCATTGGAATCATCCAGCCTGTAAAGTGAGATAGTGAACCCCCAAAAGCGATACCTTCACAATGTACACTTCAATCATCTTCAGTCATTTTCTTCAATCATTTGACTTGTTTTCGCTTTACATGCAGCGATACCAAAGCAATACCCTGGATGATCAACATGTGGTCTAGATGAGCGGATCCCCTTTCATATCATGTTCGTATCATTTTCACAGTGCCTGTGGAGTCTGCTACAGATGATGAGCTCTAGAACAAGAACCGGAATGAAGGGGGAAGGAAGCGCTAATTGTCAATGGAAAACTCTCTCTCTCTCTCTCGCTCTCGCTCGCTCTCTTTCTTTTTCTCCCACTACCCATTGTCATAATATCCATGTGCACTTCACTGTGAACCCCCAAAAGCGATACCAACAGATGGAGTTCCACAAATGTGCCCATAGGTTTTGGCGATCTGCAACCCCCCTGAGCCCTCTGAGCGGGGACGGGTGGAAAGCTGAGAGATGGGGCATGAAGATCCAATATCAACCAAGACCTCTTTGTATCACGCTCACGTCTCACACAAACTCAACCTCCTCGCCATGGCGGCCAGCGGACTTTCAGCACCCACACAGGTGCGAACATGTGCCCGAAATCGTGAAGATGAAAACGGTGTAGATTTGAATACAGTAGTGCCGGGGTTGGTATGATTGCTGGCAATTGTGTATAGGGCTAGAGGCTAGAGGCCAGTTTTTTTTCAAACGCAGCAGGTTTGTTGGGAACCCATTTTGATGAGATGGAATACTTATTTTTTCCACCTGAAAACCTGGACACATTGGACACATATCCCAAAAACCAGGTCTCCAAACAGATTAAGCTAGATAGATACCCTCCATTCAGCAAACATGGAAGTGGAACATGGCCCCTTGGAAGCTCTACGAACAGGCCATGTTCCACTTCCATGATTGTTTGTGGGAGTGTACAGAGAGTGAACCCCTTGTAAAATAGGACATGTCTTGGACATGTGACATGCTTTCTATTTATATATTGTGTGGGAAGCGCAGCCGCGCTCATGAAACCACTGTGCTTGGAACACGTCCTTTGCCCGATGTCCAGGAGGAGAATGAACGAATGGCAAGGACCTTTGAAAGGCGGGTTGGAAGGGAATGCATTTGAATCTCCAAGTCCAGAGCTGGAGATTCCGATTTGGTGGCATTCTGCGGTTGGAAGGATGCTGCGGGTACTGTGCAACCCAGTCCTGTCACAGAGGATTCCAAGATTGTATTATGCGCAAAGATTGCATGCGCAACATTGCCGCAAAGAAAGTAATTTGCAAGCTGGACAGTCACCAGAAAGTCAGCTGGAGCGAAGGCCCTCAGAGCAAGACTTTCGGTAAGAGCCATGGATGATCACTCAGAATACTGGAAACATCCGGCAAAAACCAACTCTCAGCACTTTTGTCGGTCAGAGTCACCGCAGAATACCGGTGTTCGAAGCAATCCCCACGAACCCGACGCAAATCTGCCAATTCAGGTGTTTCTTCACCGAAAAAAAACGGACACATCCTGAAGACGTGAAGCCTCCACGACAAGAAATGCACCTTTGATTATGCCTCCGATACAAGTCTGAATATGAAGCTGGAGAACCGGTAGCACAAAAGCGACGATGCTGGTAGACCAGAGAGAAGTGGACCCTGCGCTATGATTGGCACGTCGCTTCTCATTCTTGGTCTAGTGATTTTCAGACGACCCAAAAAGAAAAAACCACTCTAAAAGGTAGGAAGAAAAGGAACAACCACTACTTGGCAGGAGGAACTGGCAAGATCGATACTCATCAGCTGGAACCCAACTGCATCAGCTCCAACTGCATCAGCTGGCCGCCCTACTTCCCACGGTCTCACCGGACCTCGCGGTCTAGGTCCAGCGGCGCGGACGGCTTCGTGGACCTGAGCGAAGGGCAGCGGCTGCTGCGACGGGCCGGCGTGCAGGAGCAGACAGACCAATTGGGCATGTAGTTTAGTAGGGAGGTCTTGTGGCCCAAGGGTTAGACTGGTCCATTTCCCGAAATCTAGGAGCCTAGGAGGTTGGAACGCCTGGGGGGTCTCAATTTTGAGACACTACACGCCAACATGATCCAACATGGCTGTGGGTCATAGCGCCAGGATACTGACCGGGCATGACGTAACGGTGGGTGGGTCACAACCCCATCCCGCGTCCGATGTGGCGGGTGAGGGTGACGAGAGGTGTAGTGTGCCAGGGATGGGGTGTTCCAAATAACCAGCTCTTGCGGATGCTGGGTCGTTGAGGGTCTGCCAGGTGCAGCACATGGAGTCCTGGCATGCCCTGGTGAGACCAACCCACGTCAGTACCCACGTCGGTACCCGCGGTTTCAAAACACAAACACGCGGCAGGACTTCTTGGGACTGGATGGAAGAGACCTAACAAAACTGGGTTTGGTCTGAAGGCTTTGGTCCAGGCAGGGGGGTTTTCTCCGGACGCCTCGCCTCGCGACCGAAGAAGGAACATCAGCTCCCCAATGTTTGGGAGCTCTCGGACCTCGACCGGGACCGCCGGCTCTCGTGACTTGGGAAGAGAGATGCGCGGGCTCGTGCCGTTGTTTTTCGCTGAACGCGGCGGAGAAGTGGAGGATCAGTTGATGAAGATCGAACACTGGCCTATGGTATTAATAGTCCTGTTCGGTGTTTGCAAAAGGTATCATTCAAGTCCTGACCGGCCCAAGGAATCTCCGATTACTCCTACTCCAAGCGTTGAATCAAACAAACCAAGGGTTTGCAGCGGGGGTTCGACCGAAATGGATTTGACACCTGGAGTTCCCTCGACGCTGGACCTTCGACACTGGTGTCTTTGTTTGAAAAGGTGGCCATGACTCAGATCGGTTCGAAGCATTCCATGATATTTATCAGTCCTCGGAGTCCTTGGAATTGGTTTTTTATAATGTGTTTTTCTTCGAATGTCAGAGTCTCAGAGCACACCACCCAGCTAAGCTTGGGTCTAAAGAGGTCAAGAGCTCGTATGTCCAATGCAATACCACATACTTTTTCCTGCCATAGATGCCACCTATGATCTTTTTTTTGCTGAAGGGGGTGCGTCCATGTCCCTCACCTGGCTGCGCTGTTACAACTGGATGCCTGAGGCTGCGTGAGTTTGTGTGTGCCATGAGCTTGGCCGAGCAGGAGGGGATCGAAAACGCAGACGAATCCCTGTGGAGGGACGACGGATGTGTCCTCCCTTGGCACGCGGAGGTCTTGTTGCACGATGGAAGATGTCCTAGTAGATGTTCGTTCGGAAAAGCATGAAAGAGTCATAACATAGAATGGAAGGTAACGTGGACCACGTGTTTCCCAGTGCATGTTCAATAAATAACATCTTAAATAGATTCGCTGTTTTGATCGCTGTAGTTGCCGATCCCCACTGGGCCGGCCTTGGAGAATCTTGGGAAATCCCTCAAACCCATATTTGTTGGCGGTTATGTACTCGAAATTATTGGATATCAGATTCAGAATATCTCTTCAACCAAATCAGGCCCTCAAGACAAATCTATTTCAGAATATCTTAGATTCACATTCTATACATGATTCTCTATTTCAGAATATCTTAGATTCACATTCTACACATGATTCAAAAAGGATGAGTCTTGGAATCGTCACCGCTGCCACCATTTTTGGTCATGCCTTGTTGACTTGACTCTGAAGCCAGGTTCCTCAGCCCCCCTCCCACCAGTGTGTTCCTTCGTCCCCGAATCACACCCCGACACCCAGATCGAACCAAAAAACAAACTCAAGCCATTTTCCACGTTCTTGGTCTGTCAGGTCCGGCGCGGACAGGCGCTGCCGGTCGAAGTTCGCCCAGAGCAACAGGAGGCCATGGCTGCAGGCGCGACGTTTCAAGCGCTTTTAGGTCCGAGGTCCAGAGGTTGAGGAAGGTGAGGGGAAGGGGAGCTGAAGTGGGAGATTGTTTTACTCTCCCTCCAATGAACATGAAATCAAAGAGCCCCCTGTTTGTATATAGGATTTCATGGTCTTTTCAAGGGCCATTGGCCACTTCCATGATTGTTGGAGGGAGGCGCCTGTAGCTTTGATTGCATCATGTCTGATGCTGAAGACATGGTTCATCGCTACAGTTTTTACCTGGTTTTGGTACCTTTTTGGGGCATGACCAGAGCAACCCGGTTTGAGTGCTCACCCACAGGTGTCGAACGTCTATTGCAGCAAGGTGCTGTTCGTGGAAAGGACCGTTGGGATGCTGAAATGATTTGGGGATGGGTCAAAACCAGCCTAGCACTTCCAATGGGTGCCATTTGGAGACCTATAAGTAGGGTAGGGCTTGGAAGCGCATGTCCCTCTTGCGTCAACTGCCTTTTGCGGAGGTGAACCATAGTAAGCGTGAGTTTACTAAAGACCATTACTGTAAAGACCCGAAAGGTCGCAAGAAGTTTTCCCACCAGGCATCCGTGGCCGGCACACAAGCTTTGGACAACTTCTGGAAGCTGTTGAAGAAGTCCATGCCCAAGTCTTTACATGCCCGTGGGATGGAAGCGGATGCCAGGGTAGTGTCGCAACGGCTGTGGAGCTATGCCTAACGCACAGGGCGATCTTTGGAAGGCGGTCGCCCGCTTGATCCGCTGAAGAAAAGAAACATCGCTTTCGCCTCGGCCCTTCTCCAAAGCAACCTTTTCTCCCCGGTCACCCTGGCACACCACGTGCCTTGTATACTGGGCCTGCCAATACAGACACAAGGTGACCTATTAAGAGCCCATCTCCAAAAGCACCAAAAACCCAGGGCTTTGACCGCTTTGCGTTGGATGTGTTGCAAAGAAACATTCGTTTCGCGCGGGCCCCCCCCCGGTTAGTGTCGATGCCTTGTTTCAGGCTTTTGTTTTGTGTTTCTTTATTCCGGGGGGGTCTTCAGGTCCTTTGGAATGGAAGGGAACTGAACGACAGGCCTGACACTCATCGGTTCCGTGATTCACAGACCCGGACCGCCCATCGGCCCCCATTTATAAAAACTCTTTACAACTGCTCCCGTGCGTACAACAAACCACAAAACCCCCGCACGCTGTTCTTTTCTCGGATCAGCTTCGTGAGGAGAGCGCCGACGTGCCGTTCAGCACAGGTGCGGTTGGTGTCACAGGTGGAAGTGAAGACTTGGCAAGGTCGAGTCGGGACGAGAGGAAACGATCCAAGCACGTTTTCCAGCCAAGTTTTGTTTGGGAGACTCTGGCCATGATCGTTGACAGCAGGTTCGTTTTGTTAATAGTGCCTGGATTTTTGCTAACTCTTTCGTAGAGACAAATACTCTGGGATCAGGGCGGGTAATGATTTTTGCTGGAACCACCAAGCCAGTATCACCGTGGCCAATTCTATGAACATCCTGAAAACCCTATAGGTCCCACTCCATGAAACGATCCATTTTCACGCTCTTCCCACCTTCACCGGGTACCTCGCCGGGTGTTGCCATGGCAGGTACCCTGGGCCCAACGGCGTGGGGCGCTCAGCTGTGTCAGCGGTCAGCGGTCAGCGACCCAGATGTCAGCGGTCAACGTCTTCGGCTGAAGTTTCAGCTGATTATAACAGATGCCACCCTCTCAAGTCTTCTGGTTTTGCGAAAGTTCTTGGTTACCCTCTCATTCGATCTCGAGGTCTGGACGTGGGGCATCTCAGTCAAAACCGCAGCTGAGTCGACCGTGGTCAACTGTGGAGCCACACGGCCGGGGAATCGATGCCAGGTCATTCTCTTAGCAACACTAGGAACAAAGGGCATCGCTACTAGGAGCAAGGACGCTACTAGTAGCTCCTGGTCTTACTACTAGGAACAAGAAGCTACTAGTCACATGGTGCCTTAGCATCTCTTAGCAGATTGACCAAGCAGCAATGAAAGGCCTCTCAGGGGAACCCGTGCTGCGGGAATCAAAGAGGGAGTGGTGTTTGTCATGGTGACTTCCCATCATGTTCTGACACACAAAAGCTTGATAGATACAGCTGTATCAATTCCGAATTTCTGGAACAAAACCCTATGAGCCTGAGCTTTCATCATAGGTTGGCTGGTGTACTCCTTGTCAAGACCCGTCTTGAGGTCTTGCACCTGAAACGCGCGCCCGGCCATGGTTTCTCTCCGCTCCGGTCGCCACGGGGAATTCATTGCATTTGGGGCATTCCTGCAGTGAATTCCTGCCCCATCCCAAGCCCCGAACGAGTCCTTAGCAAGACTAGGACTGGGTCTAGCAAAACCTCTTATTGTTCAAAGTGGTAGGCCGCAGATTTGAGTGGTCAACTGAGCAGGGTCTTTAAGTCTTTTGGCCCTGACATCCGAATCATGATCCACTGTTCTTAGGCATGGGACACATTTCCAGTAGAGGGATTCTTCATTCATTGATCAGATCTCCTTGATGTATAAATCCCTTCTTGAAGAAACCCACATGAAAGGTTTGGGGCACTGCTGCGCTGCTGTTGCAGTCTCACAGAGTCTATCTATACAGAGGAGAATGCCTACATCTTGGGTTAGGAAGATAGCTCAAGTTCTGCAGTTGAGCCTGAAAACTGATTTGATAGGACACAAACCACTGAATGTCCCATTGGTCACCTGCCAGTACTGCCGCGTCATTTTGGGAACCAAGGGGCACCAGCCCCTCCCGATTGTTTTAGATGGTAAACAGACGGTATGGGGGGCTCCTAACCCCCCCTAATGTTCAGGGGCCACTGGGGTTTGTACCCATAGACCCATAGATTATCTTGTTTTTTTTCAACCTTGGTCGGTATTCATACGTAGGAGGGCAAAAACCCTGGTCGTGTACCAGCAACAAAAAGGTCCCCCAAAAGTGGCAGCCTGGCAACTACCTCGATTTTCTTCGACCCTCACGTTGGTGAATCCTAAAACCTTCTCAAACCACCTCAAAGCACCTTGCCAGGCCTTTGGGGCAGATGGCGCAGGTCTTGAAGTTGGTGGCACGAGTGGCCGGGGAATCCAGGAAGGCGACGCTGCGGATTACCGCCCGACACCGGTGGAGAAGGAGGCATCTTCTGCCTTTTCGCGGCAAGACGTTCGTCTTTTTGGATTCAGACTGGATGATGGAAACGCCGGTCATATTTTTTGGAGGAAGAGGTGGGAATGAGGCTGGTGAACAGATATGAAAACAGATCTTTGGAGAAGGGATCCTCTGTGTGGGGTTGATCATGAACGTGCCACGCAGAAGGGGTACCCAGTTCAATAGTGCCAGTTGGTTTGAAGTCCTAGCAGCTGCAGGGGCAGAAGATCAACTTTGGCAGGTGGGCCCACCGAAGTTTCATCACGAAACTTCAAGCTAAAAGCCAAGCCCAGAGGGCCATAGAAAGATGCTTGGGGCATACTTGAGAAGTTATTAAGTAAACATTGAAGTGAACATGGTTGGTCAACTTCTTCTGCTCACTTTCGACGTTGGAAGCCCAAAGATGGCTTCTTCACCCCTGCAAGCGTTACTGCATTCGAACCGGCTGTGGTTCGATGTAACAAAGGGTTTTGGCCTGGAATCATGTGCAATTTGCCCGACGGGGACCTTGCTGCAGGCTTCTGAAGCGTTTGCATTGCCTTTGGTCTTTAGGTCACATGACCATGATCTCCCTACATCATGATGAGCAAAGATGAGCAAAGCCCGAAGACAGCCAAAGAATTGTTTTGTTTTTGTTGATCCTTTTGATGTTTTTCCGTTTTTTACATACCGATTTTGATTTATGAAATACACATCAACAGTTTGCGCTTATGAATTGACTGATTATTTATGAACGTTTTATGTTTTTTTTTTTTCTATTTTGTTTTTGAACAAAAATATATATTGTTGGTTTTGTTATGGATTCACAAATCGTAAAACATATATAGAATTCTCTTTAAACGTTCAAAAAATACAAACACACACAAACATTTCAAAAAAACTATTATGTTCTTATGAAAATTGATCACTTTTTTGGATTCTTTATGGATTCAACAAATTGCTAAAAAACATAATTTCAATAAACAATCGTACAATTTATGAAATGTTTATGACCATTTTATGTTTCAACATTTTAAGACAACTTATGATTTGTTAGTTGAGTCCAGAAAAATCTTTAAACATCTTAACATTTTCAGAAAATGGTGTGTAAAAAGTGAGAAAAACTTTTTCATAAAACAACAACCACATCATTTTTGGTTCACAAACGGAGCGGAAGCGCAAGAGGTCACCCGGGCTTCACAGATACAGCCAGTTGTTTCAGAGTCGGAATTATTGTGGGGCACTCTGAGGCCCGAAAAGAGAGCTGACGCCCAGTGGGGGGTTCAGACCCAGCAAGGAGCATGCAGAGACAGAAGGACCGTGTATTTTTCGACTTCAAGTGGTGCAAGTGAGAGGAGGAGCGCGGAGAGGCCGCAAAGCAGAAGTGCAGAGGCTGCAAATACAGCTCTTCTGATGCCAATGCAGGCACTTGCCTCACGTCCTAGGCGTTGGTCCAGGAAGCGGTGATAGTTTAGCGTGGTCTGGAGTGGGCTTGAGGGAGGCGAAGCGAATCAAAGACAATCAGGTTCGGGCAAGATGATCAGAAACGCAAACTAAGTTTGACGGCGCAGCTGCCGACCCGCTTTCGACTCCATTTTTGTTCATTGAAAGTGCTAAAGACATGTGATCCCACATGTAGACATGCGCACTACTTCCCACTCTTGTCCCGCCAAGCTCACTAAGACTGGAGCAAGCTGGCCCTGTGCAACACCAGACGGCATGTTGGGAACGTCGTTGTTCTACTCCAATGACAAAAACACCCACATCCGCTCATGGTGACTCTCTGCCTTAGGTAAAGGTCCCCTCAAGAGTGGCGAACGGCAAAGCCACACCCTCAAAGTCCATGGCTCGTCCTACCACCGAGGATCCCAGCGGGGAGCTTCAGCGACTGAGCCGGGAGGTGGGTGGCTTCCATCGCACGGGTGGATGGTTATACCGCACCGTTATACCGCAAGGTGTTTTTGATTCATGATTCGTTTCAGGTGAGAAGTGGTGAATGTCAACCAGGGTTGGGTGGGGACATCTGATGGACTGTTCTGTTTTTCGTTGGCGGTGGTGTTTCTTCAATCGTTATTGATGTGTTTTATTTGGGGTTGAAGCTGCCAACATGAGTGACAGGGAACGTAGTTGCAGGACTGGGGTTGGAAAAACTTCTGCATTGAGCGAGTTGAAGTCTCCCCAAACTGCTCAAGCCCAGCAACTCCTCTTTCAGAAAACTAGAAGCACGTGCAAACCCATCACCAAGAACGGGGTCACCAAGAACGGCCTGTACACCACCTTTTGATTTTAGACCTGTTTCTTTTAACACGATGAGGATTAAACATGATCCGAGACTAGTGCCACACTTGGACACTTCCAATCATTCCAAAAGTCCGAGGAATCGAATGCAGGAACAATCAAACCGTGCCGTCGTTCTCCCCCGAAAAAGTCTTGTTTCGACATGGCGATAGACAGGCTTCCCCGATGGGGCTACGTTGGGGGCTACGTTGGGGGAAACACAGGGGCGTCCAGTTTGGCGGGCCGTTCTCGGATTGGAGTAGCCAAGTGAACTCTTAGATTGGTTTTCCACTTACCAGAGTTTGTTTAGGAACATATTCCGTGGGGTTTGCTAATGAAAGCGGGTAAAATCAACAGCTAGAAAAAGCAGCTAAAGATTGCAGTGAACGGGGCTTCTGTGGCTTCGCTGTGGTTTCTCTTCCGAACTGAACAGGTGTTGGCTGAGCGGCAACAACTCGAGCAACAGCAGGGCTGCAGAGATGTCGGTCGGTCTTGGGGAGGTCCAACGTCCCGCCGCAACGAGGCATTTTAGGGATCAAGTTCGGACTCCCAATGATATACAGAATTATACAGATTGTTAAGACCGAAGAGCGTTCACGACTTGTTCTGGTCTTTCCCTGCCCGTGCCGCGAGCTTCAGAGTTGCTGTGTAGCGGCCAGACACTTTGTAATCAAACGAAAAATGGGGGCAAGACTTCCTTTGGGGGAGGGTATCTGATGCAACCTGATTTGCCAACTTTTTTGACCAAATGAGTTTGACTCAGAACGCTTGTTTTTATTCCTTTTTTTGGGCAAGCAGTTCATAGGGCCATAGGGAGTCATAAGAAAACACACCAAACGCAACAGAATTGGCGAACCTCTTCAGCCTCTTCAAGCGTCCTCGGGTTGTGAACTCTTTGTATCAGAACAACTCATGGTTGGAAGGCGCACGCGACTTCCGGGAAAAAGGCAAAGAGCGAACAGCATGTGAGAAAAAAGATGCGAACACTCCTTCATCTCCAGGTGTATTCGGTTGTACTAGTACTCGGTCCTTCTGTGAGAGTTCTCAAGCACCAAAAGCCAAGAAGAGAAGGAACAAATTCACCAATCACAAAACATAGTAGCGATGCCAGGAGCTACTAGTAGTAATGCCCTTTGTTACTAGTAGCTTCTTGTTACTAGCAGCGATTCCAGGAGCTACGAACGCAGCGTCGAAGACACGCGTTTGAGGCTGGCGCATCGCCGGTCCTTGGAGGAGCAGCTCCGGGAGGCCCGAGGCCGCCTGGATGAGGCGTGGAGTTGGGGTGGGGGAAGGATCTGTAGCCAGGATCTGGAAGGTCCGATGTCTTGGGGGTAAATGGTATCAGTCTGTCAGTTGGCTTTTCTGGGCTTTTGGAGTGGAAGAAAATGGAGAGCCAGGCGAGTGAGCTCAAGCGGAAGAGCGCTGTGGAGGCGGCCGCCGCCCAGAAGCGGATCGCGCAGATGCAGGTGGGGGAAGCGCACGACCGACGCCACGGTCCGAGGACGGTCCGCAGACCGAGAGGAAGAAATGCAAATCAACTGACCAATTCAACTCTGGTAATGCTTGTACAAAGCTACGAGTTCCGGGGCTGACGAACGGAGCGATCGGACGCAACGAGTTCCGGGGCTCCGGGAGCTGCACGACGAACGGAGCGATCCACGCTACGCGACTCGAACGGAGCTTTTGGCTTGGCCAAAAGGATGACTGAAGTCCAAGGATTCCAACCCCCCGGCTGCCGGGCTGGGCCGCGCCGCCACACCGCTGTTTCGTGGCGTGCGCACGGTGCGCAGGATGAGTTGGTCTTCGTGACCAGAGAGGTCAATGGAGCCGAAGAGGTCAGACCGAGAGGTCAATGGATGTACCCAGTTTGACCCCACTGGAAGGAAAGTACACCCAAAGCTGTTGGCTGGGGCTTCCCCTATTCAAAAGACTTCGAATCCATTTTTGTTGAAGCTTGGCTTGGATGCTGTCGGAGTGGAGTGTGCACTCATGTTGCTTGAAGAGGGTCCAAACAGGAAGACACGCCATTCAACTTAAGCTCCTGTTGGTCTGAGTAGTTGCGCCACTCAAGGTTTTGAATCCCAGAGTTGGTTGAAGGCGAAATCTACAGGAAACTCGTAGTTTTGGGATTGAACACAATGGTTGTAGATTTAACCTTAAACCAATTCTGGAATAAACATGCTGCATCCAGGAAATCATGGAGCTCCAGTAGAGGCCCTCGGAGCTTCTTGCTTTGTGGGACCCCGCCAAAAACGATTCCACCCATCATTGTGGTCCCGCAAGGACCTCAAAGCTCTTCGACAAGCCTCAGGTCAAGAGAAGGTCTGTACTGCGAGGGTTTGGGGTGGGTGGGTGGGTGGTGGGGGTGATGGGGGTGATGGGGGTGATGAGTGGGTGGGGTCAAGAGAAGGTCTGTGGTGATGGGTGGGTGGGTGGTGGGGGTTTCCGAACAGTTGGACGCCGGACGACCAAAATGAAAGAAGAACGGCGGACCCAAACGCGCGGTGGAACCAACAAGAACACCCTCTCGATGGGCCAACGCGGTCTTTTTTCGGGGGGGTGGACTGGGTGGGTCTTTAGAGAGAGAAGGGCTTCGGCTGGGGTCTGAACCCGCCTGGAGTCAGGAGCCACGGTCTCGAGCCCTACCTGCGCCGTTGGGGGCTCCCAGAGACATGAGACAGCCGCCGCGGGGATCCCGGAGAGCCGGTGTGTCTCAGACGTGGCCGGTGTCTCTCGTCGTCCTCAGGCGGAGGCTGGGCCATGATTTTTTGAAAGGAATGATGAATGCACATCCTTGGCTTTCGTGACACACGTCCAGCAGATCATTCATGTCGAATTCCTGCATATTCTTGCCAGCTATAAATGGCTTCAATGTTGAAGAATGTATACCACCTGGCACCAGCGGAAGAGAAGCACAGTTGAAGATTTGACGAGGGCACACCGAGCACTTGGTTGCCTTTGGCAGGGTTTAGCAGTCTTTTAATGTCACGAACCAGGCACAAGAGTGTTTGTTGGTCGCCTTCCACGGTCACTCGGCCTCGTAGCCGACGTATTGGCACAGAGTTCCGATGCCGAAGAGGAACGTGCTCGGTCGTAGACGTCTGGATCAAGCAGCCCTTTAGTGGCTTTGTGAAGCCTCCAGTCCGGTCAACTGTTACCCTAGCCCTGAGTGTGAAGATCAAAATCAGAGGGGACAGGTTGGAACATGGACCAACACCCTTGCTTGGGGGTCTGCTGACATCCATGCCCATGCCCATGCAGCGATGTTTGCCACAAAACGAAGCTGCCTTCTGAAGCTGGTCCAGTTTTTTGGGGCCAACCACATTGGCTCTCTTCTGCCGCCTGGTTCCGCCTCCCTTCGGGGCCGAACCGCCCATCCGAAGCCAGCTGACCCGCCGTTCAGCCGTTCCCAGGTACACCGATCCTGAGGAGGAGCGCCGCGATGTGCTTTCCAAGGTGCGACCGATGCGCTCCCGGGTCGCCGCGTCCCGCGCCCCGATGCGATGGACGATGGACCCTGCCATGGCCATGGCCGCGGCTGGCGGCCTGGCCGGTTTTGGGCGCACACGGGGGGGAGTTCTTGGAGGTGAAAGGAATACAGGATCGAATCCATCATCCAAACGTCCTTTCTTGCGGCTTGGCGCTGGTGGGTTGAATGCTTTTTGTTGAAAGAACCAGAAAGAGGTTGGATGGAAAAGATTTGCTGGGAAGACCCAAATGGCGACATCGAACTGCATACATGAATTTCCAATGCAGATCTTTGCATTGACGAGTTTCAGCTTTAGCTTGAGTCATGTCCAACTGACCTTCCGCGCCGCATTGAGCGCTCCCTGCGGCCTTCCCTGCGGCCTGGAAGCTCTTGGCGGTTCGCAGGTGCGGGCTGAGCGAGAGTTGCTGATGAAGGATCAGAAGGCCATTGAGGAGCTTCCAACGCACGTCTTGCGGCCGATCTTCGAACTCTTCAGAGCTCCTGGGTGGTCATTGTGCACCGGGTCCATACAGCAAAATCCATCGGCGAAGCGTCACATGCAAACATACCACCGATGTATCCGGCTGCTTTCTGGATCCCATTCCAGACTTGTTTCCTTTGTTCCCTCGCCCCCCCGCCTCACAGGAGAGGTGACATCCTCTCATGCTCATCTAATGTTCATGTTGCCTCTGATCGACTTGCTGGTTCTTTTGGGCCTAGGAGCTTCGAGAACAGCTCAGCGAGTGCGGGCCCAAGTGGTGGGCCTCGTACCGCCATCGTGTTTTTTTTGTTTTTTTCGTTTTCGAGTGGCATGGAAATGAGCTTTCCTCCAAACCCAGCCAGCAGCTAGGTGGCCAGGACGCACCAGACTCCTCTGACTGAGGATCTTCCGACTGAAGCATGAGGCCCAAAGCCAACAGCAGGCGCGGAGCAGGGAAGGTCAAAGCAGATCTGGACATTTGAGCCATTCTGGGCCGTGTTAGACGGTTCAAGGAAGTGGGATGAAGCATCCCAGATCCCAAAGAAAGACTTGCGTTGCTCCCTTCAAACGAGGCCCCTTCGACCGAGGGGAATGGCCCCAGCATCATCGCCCGCGTTTGCTGCGCAGGCGCTTCTAGAGCAACAGAGGCAATGTGAGCAAGACCGAAGCCTCATGTTGACCGCCATTGAGGCGAATCTCAGCCCACGGGGCGCGCCATACATTCATCCCCCAAAAACAGCACATCGCGACGCCGGCGGAGAGAGATGGTGCCAAGTAGGCGGATGTTTGCGGGCTTTGTGGCGACACGATTTCGGAAGATGAGCGATCAAATCCACGGGCTTTTGAGGGCTATCAAAAGCAACATCAACTTGTTTCAGATCAACAAGCATCTTGAAAGATGAGTCCTCTCCTTCATCCCCTCTGGTCCTCTCCTGGTCCCACGTTTTTGGTCCTGGCATTCTGGTACCTCTGGTTCCCGAGTGACTGTCGGGCCCTGGTCCTACTTGTTCTGGTCCCCTGCCGGTCCCCCTTTGCTCACCGTGGTTCCCTGGTCCAGCGGCCAGTGTTGTGGACGGCTGTGGACCGGTGGCCGGAGGTTGGAATGAACTGTGGCACACAACCCGCTGTCACATGGTTGGGCTGAAGCATGTCTAGGCCTAGCCCCGGACCCCATCCATTCTTGTATATAACATCCCGGAAGACTAACATGGAACCTGAACATAGACCTTTGGAAGACAGTGTTCCTTTACAACCCCGGTGCTTTTCAGGTTCCATGTTAAGCTTCCAGGGTGTACTGTATCTGTTGCACATGGCAAGAGGGACTTTCTACAATTCCTCTCAGTGCTGGGGCGAGTTGCTTAATTTCGGCCCTCAGTACAGGGACAAATCGGCATATTGTCAAGTATGAGGCCCTCACGTTATATTTATCACTCCAGATCGTGATTATGATGATTATATAGGCATCATGGGTGAAGATGCGAGCTTGCGTGATATCGTAAGAGACTGATGCGGATGGCTTGCGGCCTTTTCTTTAGCAGCACGTCTGTGCGACCCAGTTTGTTTATGTTGCAAAAACATGCCAAACACTGGGGCCCTTCAGGCATATCGTCATGACCGTTATGTAGTTTTTACTGATTTTCTCAAGCCACTGTGTGGACAAAGGGTGCTTTCGCCACAAGCCAATGATCAATTGACATGCTCATGAAGGAGATGGAAAAGGAAAGATCATTTATGCGAACAAAGTTAGTCTTTAGTAGGGGGGTGTGGGGTGGGCAGACCGGGAAAGGTGGAGGTAAACCAAACCATATTAGCCTGCTGGTGTGTTGGGTGACATTCGACTCAGATGTTTTTGTCAACAGTTCAACATTGCGGGCTCCACTGCTGAGAATGCGCCAGACACACCAATCATGGGCACGCAGCAGTGCTTTGCGAGACAACAGGTTGGGAGATTCAAGGGCTTTATCCCTACTGACAAAGAATGATAGGTGAACGCCCACATACAAATCAATATCGGGAATGAAGTGCCTCTGGAGTAGCCGAAGCGTGAAGTTTTGAAGGGGTGGGAGGGACTTCTTTGGTGGTCCAAAGCTGCATGCGAAGTAGGTGCCCGTCACACGAAACATCCCCAACAGACACTGTCGAGTGCAAGCCATCTGGGTACATGAAGAGAATATGCGACCTGCACCTCATGATGACCCGGAAGCACCATCCCTACCGCTCATGCCACAACCTGTGCCGCAAAAGCTCTTCCATATATGCTTTGCCATCGTCTAGATGCCTTTGCCGGCATCGAAGATGCAAGTGGGTCCAACGAACTGGAAGGAGGTTACCTCAAGATGAAAGCGGGCGACCCTGTGCAGATTCTTAGTGTGGAAGAGCAAGGTCAAGGCAATCGAGGCTGGTGCCCCTCCATCCGTATGTTCTACCATGATGAGGCACAGTGTTTGCCGCAAAGGCGCAAAAAAATGCTATTGAAATCTCACCCAAATCACAAGGGCGACAGACTCATTAGGGAAAGCCCTGCAATTACCGTGCCGGCCACAATGAGGAAGTTTGTGTAGGACTTGGCCAACGAGAGGATTTGAAGTGGTGCGGAGCCTGGTGGCAGGCGCTGCACTTTGTGGACCTTGAAGTGCAGATCTATTTTTGGACCTCTAGAACTCTAGACTGGACCTTCCACCACCACCACCACCATCATCATCATCGTCGTCACCTCACCACCACAGATCTATCTATTTGGGCTCTGGCGCTTTCAGCGATGGATAAAGTGGCAGGGGCATGCGCCGGCGGAGTGCCTAGTTTGGTTACGCCGCATCACCTTTGACGCTGCCTGCGACCAGATTGAGTAACGGGCCATTGATCGCCGGGTGATTGGCCGGCGAGGAGGAAATCGCACTTTTGCCGTGGACCTCCACATTGTCCAGTGACCACCACCACATTCCCACATTCATTCACCACCCAACACCGCCGCCACACTCTCTAAAGATATGTGGCCATAAGCTTCGTGTCCAAACCATAGTTGGCTAGTTGCACATGTAGCACGTATGGTGGCAGTCTGACCATGAGATTTGCATTCGTTGTGCTGCGCTGTGGAGACAGTGTGACAGTGTTGTTGGATGACGCCGCACTAGAGAAGTGTACCATCCAAGAGTGCTTGAGGTTGCGAGTCCAAGAGTATCAGGTTTGAATGCAGTTCGCGCCCAAGAACGCCAATAACTGCGTCCAAGGAATGCAGAGGCTGACATCGCCGCCAACGCAAGCTGGATGACATCGAATCGGGCCTCAAGTCAGGCAAGTGTTCACAGTTGATTATTGAGTTGCGCAAACAAGTCGGGGATTTTCACAGGTGATCAAAACAGGGACACTCCATGGATTGTGCCTCTTGGCTGTGACCAAAGAGGACGATCTAAGATCAGTTCACTAGCGTCTGGAAGCATGGATCGACATGATCCTGGCTGAATATCTTAAATTGTTTTCGATGCGTTGGTTCTCCGCCCCCCCAAGCATCGCCTGTGCTGAACCTGTGAGGCGGGCAAAAATCCAGCAGCGCCATTGGGGCGTGATTGAAGTGTTACTCAATAAGTGTGAGGGCATCATGACACGTTGTCATGTGAAAGTCCTAGAGCTCTCAAAATCGCGGCCTTTTGGGAGAAGTCACCGGTTCAGGCGTTCTGCCGGGAGACTGGCTTGTCTTGCAGCTCTGGTTCTATAGACGCGCGTATGTGAATGAAAGTGGGCCCAAGCAAGGCACGTTTTCCGTGTTGAAAGCAGTGTAGCGTTGTGTGAACATATAAGTCACGCAAGTGTGTGAGCACTGATGCCACGAGCTCATGAAGATGACTTGCGTTGCAGAAAATTAAATCAGAGAGCGCGCATCAGCTAAAGTCCATGAACTTGGATGCAATTCTTTTTTGCATGGTGACATTTTTTGTGCTTGGAGTATTTCAAGTCCCGATTCGGCCATGACCTCGAAGCGCAAGATCGTCATTTCGGTGGGATCAACGACTGTTTCGGTGCATGTGGACTCACCTGACGTCTCAGTGCAGGTGGAGGTGGGAGACCGAAGTGAGCGGCCACAACGTGCTCGTGAAGAGCAGGGGCCATCGGCAGTGTCGAGCTCGGACAAACCTCTTTTGAAGAAAAGGAAAAATTCATCACAGGCCGGCGCCGAAAAGAAGGAGTGCAGTCCGTTGTCCTCGAAAGAGGACGATGCTGGAAAGGTGATTGAGATCGAGGGTGAAGAGGAAGAAAAGAATGATGACATGGAGGTGGTCACTATGCCTTCCGGCTCGGAGTCTGATGCTGCATCCGTCCCTCCAGAGGATTCACCGCCGGAAGACGCCCCTGGCCTCACGCGCCCTATGATCCACCACCTCGCAGGGAAGTTCCTGAGGAAATTGTGATGCCACTAGCGGATCCACCCAAATACACCATGATGGTCAGTTCAGGGGAAAGGTTGCGTCGTCAAACATGTGGCGTGATTCGGAAACACTTGGAATCAAGGCAGTTTGGCAGCTGTTTTCACAGCGACAATGGACTGTGCTGCATTCCGAATCGGAAGTTTTTGTGAAAGAAGTTCAGAAACTGACGGAATCGACTGTGAAGCCTAGTTGCAATGCTCACTCAGCGAACTTTGCTTGAGCGGGGGTGTGAAGATATGTGGCCACAACCTTCGTGTCCAAACCATAGTTCGCTAGTTACACATGTAACGTGTATGGTGGCAGTCTGACCTTGAGATTTGCATTCGCCGTGCTGCGCCGTGGAGACAGTGTTTTTGGCCGGTTTTTAAAGGAACGCCGCGAGCTGGCGCGGAGGGCGTCGGAAGGGCGGAACAGGTTTAACTAGACCACGTTTTGGCTGTTTTTTCTGTTCACGTTTTTTTTTCAAGAGAGAGTTTCTTCACATAGTGTTCTCAATCACCACCATCACCGCCATCACGGCACCTCTCTCTCCAGCCAGTGCGTCTAGATCTTTAGACCTTCTGCTTCTAGACTTCAGACCTTCAGACACACTGCTTGAAGTCTCTTGCCGGCTTTGTTTTCCTGCGGTCATCCGGCTAAAACCCCTAAAGCGAAGCAGCAGATCGTTTGAACAGTGGCTCCAGATGCTTTGTTTGGATTCCTCATGCACCACGGCGTTGCCGCAGGGTTTTTGACACCTGCCGCTGCCGTGACGTCGCCAGGCAGAACGTTCCAAATTGATGGCTGCCCGCGCGGAGCGCCTGAGGCGGCTGGGTCGGTGACCGCAGCAGGGGTTATTTGATGGGGACAAGGGCCAACTTAGTCCAATTGGGAACTGGAAGTGTAGAGTTGTTGAGATTGACATGAAAGATTGAGGGGGACGCGCAGGGCCGCAAGGCACAAGACATTCCGGCCATTAAACCAGTTTGGCTTGTGTCAAGGAAGATGAAACCGAAGGTTTCCATGGCCCATCCTTGTGAGGCATGCAGAACCCTCTTCACCCTTGACTCCGGAAGTTTTCAGAATGACAAGTTATATATATATATATATAAGAACTGTGAGCTAGTTGAAGTTGAAAACGTTTTTTGAACAAAACCGTCGCTCGCGAGGATTTGGAAGGAACGCTCAGACCTGGAAAAACAACTGCAGGACCTGCGTGTTCCGTGTTTCTTGCACCGCTTGGAGGAGGTTGTAGCGGGTTTGGGATGTCAGTTGTACTTATCATTATATACCATGGTCTTTGTTATGCTGGACACCAAATTGGTCTCTTCGGTCCAACTTCGAGGGGCTCGCAGCGAAGGACGTCGATCAGGAACGATTGCTGGTGAGCCGCCAGGCATCAACCCGGGACTCGCCGAACGTTCGACGTATGTTGCTGTGAGTGGGTTGGTGGACTGAAAAGGGTTTCAAGTCGATTGAGGGACTGATTTATAGATTGGACATTGCTGAAAGATGCTGAAAGTCATTTCATGTCATTTCCATGTATTTCCATGATGCAAATGACAGCGGGGCCGTGGGGCCGTGAGGAAAAGGGCAGTGGCCAATCGACTTAAGGTCTGGGCGTCCGAGGTGGTGGTGTAGCCTGTTCTTTTTGTCTTGATAGTATAATATAGCCACATAGATTTTGTTTGAAAGACAAATAGAAGGAACAACAACCAATTATTCAGAGGATTTTAACTAGTGATTTATATGCATGTAAAATCATGTAAATAATTGGAAGATAAAAGAAGGGAAATAGATTTAAGGCTATTTATATAAGGTGTTCGGGGTGCACCAAATCTGATTCTTGCATACAAATTCGCTGATACAGTACATGGCCGACTTGGGATTTCGAGGACTTGGACCTCCCACATCTTTTTCTTCTTTGGATTTCGAGGACGAAAAAGAAGGAGACCGAAGGCACGAACACGCCGTCCATAGGTGCCCGGCCGCAACATCCCTGAGAAGAGGCCTGACCCAATGGAGAGGCGAGCGGAGGGGCGGAGGTGGGTCGTGGGGGAGGAGGTCCGTGGGCCATTGTGACGTTCGTAGCTTCTAGCTACTGGTAGGAATGCCCTTGCTGCTGGTAGCGATGCCCTTGTGACGTTCGTAGCTTCTTTCGTGGGGGGTCGTTCACTGAGGCCAGTGGGGAAGGGTGTGCCACATGAGACGGTGTCCGGGGCCAAAGAAAGCGGAGAGACGGGATGAAGATGGATGAAGGCGACAGGGCCATGCTGGGGCCACCCCAATTGGACCATCGTCGGAGACACTTTTTGTGTCTTTTTGTTTTCGGGCTTTTAACTTTAGTTGAGTATCAAATCAATTGCCAGTATAAGTGGCTGCCTCCTCTTTCATCTGAATCATTGAGGGGTTTTCATACCGGTGGTCATGAATGCTCAGGTTGACCACCTGCATCGCCCGAATCGCCAGCCTACCTGTTCCCGAGAGGAGCTGCATCCTGTTCCTGTAGGCTGCACTGATTTCCACGACTTGAACAGCTTGGGCAAGCACGGGACCACACCTTGAAAAAACCTCCAGAGCCCTGCCGGTCTGCCGTCCACTTGGAGGAGGCGTCTGGGTGCCCGACCAACCCCAACCGACGCGCCGTGCCAAGGCCCTCGGTGGTCAGTGGGATGGATCCTGCGCGGTGGGTGGGGGCCGCCTGGAGGGCGTGGGAGAGAGGAAGTCATGGGACATTCATGGAGAGATGACCTGATTTTCGATTTCCCATAGAGAGAGAGAGAGAGAGAAAACACACACACAAGGAGGACCTGCCTTTTTTTCGGGTTGGCTGTTGGTGTTTGGCGTTTTGACACCTGTGGTGGTGGAGGAAATCGGGCGACTTCAGGGTCAGAGCGATGGGGGGAGGCGATCCACGACACAGCGACGGTTTGAAAAGGACCTCCATGCCAGGTCAGGTGACTTTTTCGTTGAAGTCAATGGATCCGCAGCCAGAAGACGACACTTCCTGAAATCATGGGAAGTGGAGCTCACAACCCGTTTTTTCTCGGGAAAATGGACCCCCCCAAGGGCGCCATTAATTTTCCATAGACTTCCATGCTGATTTCAGGCACCTCTCTCATTTTCGGCCCACCCAGGCACCGCAGAGCACCCCCAGCACCGGCTTCAGCGCACCGAAGCATTGGTATGTTCGGGTTCCTTGGACTGGCGACCGGCGACCCGCCAGGTGGCCAACATGGGGATCTGCAGACTGGGTTTCTGTCGGAGTGATCACTCGCTTTGGCAAAGGAAAGACTGGTGGAGAAAGGATGAGAAAGGGACATTTCTCAGGCGCCGCTTCAAGAAGAGACAGATGCCGGTGACTTCACCCCTTGATTCGTTCCAGCCACCAAATCTAGTCTTGTGTACTTGCACTTGACCTAAACTCTAGGATGGAGGCCATCGCTACGTCCGTGGTGGCCACCCACCCCTTCACCTCAGACGCGCCGAAACCAGCCATGAGGTCCCACAGCATGAGGAGGCGATCCCAGCATTGGGAGGAGTGCAGGCATCGGACTGAATTGCTCCGGGATGTTTTGAAAAACTAAGGTTCCCCTCCAACAAACATGGATTTGGGATGATTTGGGAATTGGCTTCTTTATGCTTCTTTGCAGTTCTTTGCAGATGAAAGATGATGAAAGTGTTTTGCACCAGCGGAGTTGTGGTCTTCCTCTTCCATGGTTGGACGGAGGGTAGCTAATCAATTTGATTGCGTGGAATCAACCAGTCTCCTTTTCTCATGCTGACAGTTCCATGCATGGTTGCCCAGCGCTGTGCAGGTCATAGATCTAGTCCTGGTCGACCCGTTTTTTAAAAATACAGCTTTCAATTCCCTTCCATGAACATCTCCCAAGGTCAAATTGAGAGGAAACCCTTGGCATTTCCCAACTTTCATCCAAACTCTTCCTCCTTCCGGTGCCCTTGGCTGGCTCTCTTCGGTCTCCCTCCCGGTCAAGTCAGAGACCTTGACTCATCCATTCGGGAACGAGGCACGGCCTTGAACCACCCCAAAACTGGACCCCAGGCCGAGGTGGTTTCTGGGTTGTCTTCGGAAACGCTAGGAACCGCCCAGGATGAGATTTTGGGAGGCAGTCATGAAGATGAAGCGGTTTTCTTTTGCTTCGTTCTCGCTGCTTCGCACCTGTCAGAAACCTAGACCGACCTGTCGCTCAAGCGATCCACGTCTCCACGTTCCTTCTTTTCAAGCGATTTTACGTCGACACCGCGAACCGGTGTCAGGGGCTGCCTGCAGGCGTGGGAGAGTTCTTTTTTTTAGCCCGCACCCCCCTGCCTACTTAACCAAGTAGCAGGCGCTTACTTAATAAAGTCATGGAGAGGTAGCTAGTAGGTACAGGACGTTCCTAGGTAGGACGCAGGATTTCTCACGCCATTCATTTGGTTCCTAGATTTTGAGGGAAACTTGATAACTTAATTATGTTGGACCGTTTTTTCAGTGGCCTGGAGGGTGACCCTGTGCGAGGATGTCGGGTGCCGACCCCCATGGAGGGTCCTATTCTTAGGCCGTTGGACCATGTGTTCACGAACTGACCGAAGAGGCGAGACACCTGGCGCCCTAAGAGGAAACAGACGCACCTTCATGAATCAGAGAATCCTTTGGCATGTTTTACATGGTTGTGACCATTTCACCAACTTTTTTCGAAGTTTTGTTCAGTGTCCACGTGTTGCTGGATGATAGAAGCGTGCTTTTTGGGGGATTGAACAGCCGAGGATTTCCCCTGTGTAAACACCATGGGACCATGGATGTGGGTGTTGACCTACAGATGCTTATATAGATCAGCGGAGACAGCAAAAGTCATGCACTTGTCTCGGAAGCTGCAAGCCGATGTAGTGCAGAAGAAGGGCTGTCACCATGTTTGTTCATCTATGACAAGAAAGACATTGGTTGGAAGATCTCAAATGACATAGCAACCTGGAAACCCAAACGACCGGAAGCACGTTGTTGTTTCAAAACATTTTTCGTTTCAACATCCGTTTGTTTCTTGTTGTTCGGGTTTCAGGAAAGTACGCATTCGTTGCAGCCAGAGGGTGAACATGTTGCACTGCACGCGTGTGTACTTGCTTATATCGCACATTTCTTGAGACCGGTAGAACATGGCCTTGGACCATCTGGCTTCGTTCATGTTTCGCTGCAGGTCAAAGACCTCATGTTATTGGATTTCGTCAGACAAAAACACTGGACTTGTAGGGTTAGGCATGGAACGGTTTATGGATGGTTCGTGAGTCGTGGTCGGGCCCATTTGTCTCTTCCCTGTGGCACCGAGGGTGCTCAGGGCCATATTCCTCAAATCAGGGATCCTTAAATCAGGGTTAGGAGACTGGAGACTGGACTTGTAGGGTTAGGCACTCCTCAAATCAGTGATCCTCGACACTTGATCCACTCGGAGCCATAGACACCGTTTCCATCGCAGGTGACGGTGGCTCCCGGCGCCGGGACCACCGTGGCATTCGCGCGGATGGTGTGTGAGACGGGGAGTGTAGCGAGTGCTGCGATGCGAGCCGTTGGAGTTGGGGATGGTGTGACGTTGATGGATTCACCCTGCTAGTGATGGCCTCCAACCTACTAGTGATGGCCTCCAACCTAGGCTTATTCCATGGATCAATTCATTGATCATTTGGCACATTGGTGATTGATTCACCTTCTCTAATGAGGCAATTTTTTTCGGCACAACTGATGGTAGGCAACGGCGTCGAAGGTGTATTTGCCATTGAACATTCAACCCACCATCACCATGCCCAACAGCCTGGGCGTCGCCAACATTTGCGACTTCCCGTCCCTTTTCGGGGACCCAAAGATGGTCCAAAAAGGGGCCAACCAGCGCCGCGCCTTCGGCCAACGCTCGCGACCTAAAAAGGGGCCGGGGGAAAGCGGTGGGTTCGGAAGTGGCGCCCACGCCGCGTGAACGGCCCCAAGCGTGATCCGTGGGGATCCTGGGGATGTGACCCCGGTGAGTTGTCTTCGCTTCGCTTGGAGACGTGCCTCACCCAGCCGACGCGGACGATCCGGCGAATCTCCTTGCAGTTCCGCTCGTGCCGCGCGGTACCTGCGCCGTAGCGACGCCCACGTCTTCTTGCGACTGGGGGAAGCTGGTGCCGGCAGATGGAGTGGCTGCTAAAAAACGTGGAGGAGATTCATGTCTGCATTGAAAACCGTTGTGGTTGAAACTGCAGCGGAAACAATCTGCTTGACAGGCGCCGCAAAAACTCCCCTCCCGAGTCGCCCACCTTCCGCATTGCGATCCCTGCCGACGCCCTTCATGCCGCTCGACACCGAAGAGCGGCGCGCTGCCCACCCTTGCCCCCCAATCTGCGCTGTGGCGGAGTCGAATTGTTTTTTGGACCGTTTTCTCCTGACACCCGGCTGAAGTGCCAGTGCTTCCTGAACACAGTGACACCCGCAACAGCGTTCGCTTCGGTCGACTTTTGTCCAGGTCGAACGCTATTTCTGTGCGGGTTGTCACACGATTCTCACAGCCTATTCGATGTGTTTCTGCACACCTTCAAATCCAAGCCAAGCAGACTCAAATCAGTTCAATCCGACCACTGGTGGATAGACCGACACGAATCGCTGAACAGGTCCATCACAAAGGGAGCGGCACCAAGGTACGGGCCCCCGCGAAAAACGCACACGCGAATCGTGCAAACCATCGTGCGAAGCTGTGAGAGGTCCAGAAGTTCTGCAAGACATGAAGCCTGGTTTGGATGCACACGAGACCCAATGGGGACCATGGTTTTTTTGGGCGTGCCGACCAGAGACGGCCTCTACGAGCGAACATCCCCCCCCAGCCAGGTCAACCGCCGTGGCCGCCGGCGAAGCGAACGCAACGACCGGGTGAACGGGCAGGAAGGATTGGAGCTCTTTTCATGCGCAGCGCCATTGCTGGTCATGTTTTAGGGCCAGATACTGTAAGTCTTTGGATCGCAACCAAGGTTGGCAAGCTTGCCTTGCTGTGACCACAAATCTGGTCACAGATCTGGTCACACTGGCACAGCAGCAGGTCATTTCCCTATCATCACACGTTTGTTTCACGTGTGTGTGAGACTGTTACCTGAACATACTGTACCTAAACTGCCCTAAACAATTTATCATCATGACTTCAGCTTGGGACTGCACAATGGGAAGCAGAAGTCTTTTTCTCCCCTGCCTCCCTCATCTCACGTTCTTGAGCTTTCCAATCCAAGCTCTCTTTCTCATCAACGCGAAAGAACTTTCCAAATTTCAAAACAAACAACAGGAAGTCAACATTGGCCCCACTCTGTGTCAGAGCACTGCTTTTCGCATCTGCCTGTCTAGCCGTCAAGGTCTTCATGAGCAAAGCCGGAAGGAGAACATGGAACGCAAGCAGTTGCATTCCGCCGGTCCTCTGAGTGCTGAAAGAAGTTTAGCTCCCAAGCTGGACACGGTTTTTCTCTCCATATCATGTCTTTTTCCGCATCCACCGTGAACACGGAAGCATGTGCCCGGGCTTGATTGTGTCCAATCTGCTTGTGTCTATATAGCCAGAAAAAGATCTCTGGCCTGACTTCCAAGAGTTTCCGTGTTAGCCCAACTAGTATCAGTAGTGCAAACAAGAAGCAGAACATCCAAATGAAAGCTGCACATGGCGATTTTCACATATGCCCTGCTATTCTTGTGTTGAAGCACGGCAGTATACGCTCCAATGTCCGGTCTAGTGCTACGTACAATCCAATTCGACGCGCGAGGAGAAGCCGCGAGGCAGAAAACTCGTTATCCGTGACAACCACATCTTTCTCAATAGGAGTTAATACGTGAAACCAGGTGAAACCAATGGCTTCAGTCTGTAGATCTGCCATGTTGCTGTCCTCATCTCGGACATCTTCTGAGCAACTCACTTCCTCATCTTTGGTGGATTCTTCATTAACTTTGCTCCGACCATGAATGGGAAGGCTCTTTGATGCTTCAGGTCTTTTTCGTATTCCAATGTCCTCTCCTTCAGTTCACTGCTTTGAGCAGGATATATATATATATATATATTATACAGTTTGTTACTACTAGCTTCTTGTTACTACTAGTAAGGCACCTGTTACTACTAGCGTGGCACTTGTTACTCCTCCCGTGATTCGGTGAAGGAGTAGGAGCAAGGACGCGACGTTCGGGGCTCCTGGCCTTACTACTAAATGGGGTACACTCCCACACGACTCCCGCCTGTTCAAGACGGTCTTCTCGGCACCCTGTTGATCCCACTTGATGGGTCGGAGTGTACTTCTCACTTTCGACACCCTCCAGGAATAGACATATTCTATCCTATTCTATCCTATTGCATCTGCAAACTCTGGGACTCTTTGCTGTCCCGATGTTCAGGGGCGCAAATGACCTGGTCGGAATGGCTGGGAGATTTAAATCTGGAGTTACATATATAATTCTTTGTAAGGGGGCGCATGTCCACAATAGCTTTGGACAATGGGTCCCAGGAATTACATCCAGAGTTAATTCTTTCCCATGGCCTGGTTTGTAGGGCTGCTGCAATTGTCACGCTAGGGTCACGGCATCAAAGTGTCCTTCAATTTTCTCGCGAAACAGCTGAGCCAACGGAGCAAGGTATTTCACCACCTCAGCCCGTAACTGAGACACTGACATTGGAAGGTTGGCAGCTTGAATCACGGCATTGCCATCAGGGGGAACAGCAATGCGTTTCTTCCCCGCTCGCCTGAGTCTTCCATCTATCAGTTTGTTGCTGCGACCTCAAGTCGAAGTGCTTCATTCTCCTCGAGCGACAATCGCACAGCAAGCTCCACCTGACAAGCTTCCCATGCAGGAGTGGCCACCGTGTCAAAAAGGTCCTCACAAAGTTCTCCTCACGAAGGGCTCCTGGAAGAATTGCTCTCGTGGAGCCTAGAGACAAATCAAGCGCAGTGCCCTCTTCTTTGATAGGGTGGGCTCGAGAGTGTTGGAGCAAAGGTGGTTTCAGCATTGACTTCAACTTGATTGGTCTGGCTTACTTCTTTGGGTCCTGATGCTTCTTCTTGTCGCGAGCTCGTTGTGGGACAGGTTCCCCCGGCAACAAATAGAGCGTGTTCGCTTTGTATCTAATGCCTGTGCAAATCAAGTACAGCGTTGTCCTTGGTAACGAACACTGTAGCGACATAGATATAGAAAGCAACCTGGGGCAGAATGGCCCTGGCAAGGAATTAAATCAGGAGTTAATTCTTAGCAAAGAGGTCAATGATCACAGGCTTTGGTTTGATCCAAGGTCTCTTTCTGATGTCTTGCAATCATTCAATGGTGATGTGCTGGGCTCAACTATAGGGAGCCCTTGGGAGGAATTAAATCAAAAGTCAGCTCTTGGCAAAGGAGGGGGTCAGCGAACCCAGCCACTGGGAGGAATTAAATCTTCGATGTGCGCAGAAGAGTTGAAGAAAATAGAAAATAGAGAACTAGAGTTATTTCTGAGAACAGTACCTGTGGAGATATTGGTTGTAAAAGAAATGACTTCCTATGGTAATCACAGAACCCAAACATGCATTGATCCGCTTGAATTCTCGCATTTCTTCCAGCGCTGCGACTTGCCGAGCTCCGGATGACTTTTTCCAATCTCCCCGAAAGGGTGTTTACATGTTCCATGGCAAGCTCCATGGCGAAAAACCAGCCACATTTTTCCTTCCAACCCTCAAGAAGGGCACTGTTCTCAGGGTCTGTGTTCTTGTTCAACGGCCACTTTGGGGAGAGAGGGCCACAAGGTGTGGAAAGCAACAAATTCGTTGTTTGTGATCTTCACAATGTTTCCGGCACCACTTAGGGTCCTGAGCTCTGAAAACATTGCACCCAGCACTTGTGACGACCTTTTTCTCCGCATCAGCAATGGCAACATCGCAAGTTCACCATCAAGTGTAGCGCCTCAATGCTGTTTCGTGTTTCCAACGTGCCAAGTGGGCACAATGTCGTGTGCTCACATATCTCCGCAACAAACAAACATAAACAAACAAACAAACAAACAAACGGTTCCGACATGTTCCCAAAGCGTGCCAGCAAATCAGCGCGACAGGGTGACTTGACTTCAGCAATCCGGCGCGACAACGTGTCAGCAACATCGCGTGACTCATGCCAACATGACAGCATGGCAACGTGATAGCCTGACAACGCGTCCGCTAGAAAGCACGGCAGCATATGAGCGTGACGACAAGAAACACATCAGCGGTGTCCCTATTTTTTGCGAGTGGCAGATGTCATCCCCTTTTATCAGGTGGCTTATGGGCCCCCTCCTGGAGGACGTCGTGGGTTCACTTTGTAGAGGAAACGGTTTTACATGTGATGTAGTTTCCACAACTCTTCATGTTCTGTTGCTTTAGGACGCTGGCTTAATCCGGGGCTTGGTAGGGTTTTCTGAAGACGTGACTTGACTGGGTTGTCCATTTTGCCGAACAAGAGGTTGTGGGTTGGCGTGCCCGGCTGAAGAGCGCGGGAAACGATGCAGTTGAAACTGCATGCTGGTTTGGAAAAGACGTCAGGTAGAGGTTGTTAGTGCAAAAAGTGTTTTCATGCGAAACAAACATGCTAGCAGAGCACGGGCAGGTATAGTAACATGACGCATGATGGCAACACGCGTGACCACACGCCAACTTGATGACTTGGCAACATTGGGCCATGACAATGTGAACATACCGGCATGCCAGCAGAGTTGCAAACGACTTGGAAACAGGCGTAGGCTGAGGGATTTCCAGTGACTTCCAGTGCCACCTACTGTTGCAGAACCTGTGTAGATCTTGAGGTCGAGAGGCCCCCAGAGACGTAGAGCTTTCCTCAAGGACTTGGGGTCCACCGAACACAGGCGCGTTCCGCGCAATCTGCACTTCGAGGTTCGCAACCGCTGCGCCTGCCACGATATCTGCGTTTAGAGGTTCGCCCAACGCCGCGCCTGCCACGAAATCTGCGCATCGAGGTTCACAAAGTGTTGCCCCTGCCACTAGCTAATATGCCCTTCAAGGTTCACAAATCGTATCGCTTGCCACGACCTCTGCTACTGAAGGTGCTCCAAGCGTTGCGCCCGCCACACAGGACCGTGCCACGGCGGCTTGCAGTAGTGACAGTTGCAACTCTTTGTGATGGTTGTTTCAATGAGGGGCGTGGCGCTAGGGCAACGCCCCTTGTACATACAGCTGCTCTCGCGGAATTTTTCATGCGGGGCGTTTCCTTGGGCTGCCGTCCTGCAAAAGAAAGCGTTGCTTTTACACGCTTTTACTGCAGTTGAAACAGGTGTGTGCGTTTCTCGGGCAAGGCTTTGGGAACAAATAAGATTTACCATGTGGGCACAACCTTATGTAGGCGCTGCTACAATTATGCTCGACGACTTGCTTGTCTATCATCAGTATCCGCTTGTGAACAAGATAAAACTGCTTGGATGACACGAAAGCATAAACACCAAGTCTGATGATGTCCTTAGCTGCTAGGAACACACGTCGCCATTGAAGATGTCATACAGCGGCTTCACGATTGGTTGCGCAGCCCTGATAAATAAATTCTCCGGGTTTGTGCTTTGTATGTATATGCGTCTAAAATAATTGCCAAATTCGAGAACGCCCAGTGCACTTCGGCAGAAAGTGCTTCGCGCCGGATCGTTGCGGGCAATGTGAACTTTGCCACCTTCGGGCAAACTGTGGCCGACCCGGTCAACGGCACAGATGCCAGGTATGTTGCAGACACAGTCAATTGCAGAGGCATCGCCACCATCACCCACCGTCAGGCAGCACCTATATGTTTTCAAAACTCAAATACGTGCTCCCATCCCCCCACGCAACCCTTTCGGTTCCCATTAGAACCGTGAAAGGCCAGAGCGCGACTCCTCGACGACGATGACGATGTTGCAAAAACCATGGACAAAACATGAAAAATGAAATTGTTTTTGTTGTATGGACACCAACGCGTTCGTTTTTCAGTGGTGCACCGCAACCTGTGCGTGGTGCAAAGGGACCAATTGTCATGGCATTGCGGCATGGCCATTGTGCAAGCCTCACCCAACTCCGTTGTTTTTTGGCCCCATTTGCGGACGCCCGTCTCGACATCAAAGTTTTGAACGGCTCATACGAAGGCCAAGACAGGCTCAAGTGGCACAAAGCTGCCACAACAGTTCAAAAACAGAACAGGCAGAGGCGCAAACGTTCATAGAAAACCAATGTGGCTTACATTCGCCATTCGCTCCAGCAAATCAGACCAAGCCAAGCCCGCACCACGGCACCACAACTGAATGCCATGTGGGCCGCTTCTTTTCAACTTCAATGTCCGGAGTCCAGGCGCCACCACGTCCACGCTCTTTGGAGCGAGGGAAGGGCCCCGAGATGTGATGGCATTATTTTCGCATGTTCTGAAAAGACATTCGGGCGGAAGGGTGCTTTCCAGGGGCTGGGCCATGTTTGGCCAGTTGGGTGCGTTCCAGCCAAAATCAACCAGACAACTGGTTGAAACAATGTCAGGCAACCAAAGCACACACTTGCAAGCGGTCGTGGGTGGCATAAGGCTTTCCACAACGCAGCGGGCTATAGGAACAAAATTGGTAATTAAGGCCCGCGATTCAGAAAGATAAAAGAAAGTGCGGCCGCGCTCGGCTATGACCCAAGTGCCCAAGAGCGCGCCCAAAAATGTCAAGGGGGGGCTTGGATCTCTCAGCGGGTCAGTGAGGCCAACAGTGCCAAACACAACGGCGATGAAGGTGTAGGATCGTAGCAGGGTGCTTCTTTTCTAGTCATCAGCACCCTGGGTCGATTTTGGGAACATGTCTTCGGTGCAGCTCAGAATTTGTGACACCATGGATCCTTCAGCCATACTGTTTTGGGTGTGCAATTTCTTCCGAAATACGCGCGGTCACTTGAGATGCGCTTGGAATGTGGTTCAGCACGCCGTGTTCCCGTACACCTTTGGCACCAATGCGACCAGCGGGTGTTTTTGGCGCGGGGCCTCGAACTGTTGAGGCTGATGGGCCGCAAAGGGAAGACCCAGCAGGCCACTCCCTGGGAGGCGAACACATCCCATGGCGGACACACGGGGGAGACGATGGTTTTTCCGGGGACATGTTTTGCAGTTCCACTTTTCAGGCACACTGGGGTGCTTGTTTCTGGTCCACACGATTGGCATACCCCCAAGTACTGAGGGTCTGGAATGGTGGGTGCCTAGGTACCGGCAGACCAGAGGTCTAGCATATACAGGGGTAACATTGTAGACTCCATTGTAGACCCTACGAAGGATAGTACTGTAGAACTTTTGAAGTTTGGCATTAGACATTGTATTACGGATTAACCACCTGCCAGCCACAGCAGCAACAGAAGCAACATAGATGATAGAGTGGCTCTTTGTATTTGTTTGTTTGATCGGCAAGAAGAAGAAAGAGGTGGATGGGATGGCCTCTCATTGGAGAGAACCCTAATAGTAGAGTTTCTAGAAAATAAACAAACAAATAACCCAGACTAATGGGGCCAGGAGTGAGGGTCTAAAATGATCTGCCCACACAAAAAACATTTCAACAAACTTTGAAGCACCAAGGAAATTGTTTCAAACCTGCACCCTCAAACATTCTCATTGGAGAGAACCCTAACAGTGAAGCGTGAAAGTCATAGACAAACAGAATATGATAGCACAGACCAATGGAACCAGGAGAATGTGACCAGGAGTGGGGGTCTAAAGTGAAATGCCCACAAACAAAACATTTCAAAGAGTTTCAATGCACCAAGGAAATTGTTTCAGACCACCACATGTGGAGAGAACCCCACGTGTGGGAAAAGGCTACCAAAAAAGTGGTCTGAACTCATCAAAGGAACCATAGGGCCAAACCCGCTGAGCTTGAGACAATGAACCTGGACCGCTGAAACACCGAGCGACAAAGAAGTAAGTTTTCCTGTGCGATTTTGTCCATCAACATTGCGTGTTTTTTGGCGAGTTCATGTTACCAAAACATGTTGCCAGGAACCCTATCCTAGACCCATGCCCCCGGGTAGGGTCTAGGACTTAAACGTTGGCTCACACAGCATGCTCGGGGGATACCATCCTGGACCCCAGTTTTCGGGGTCTAACCTGAGGCCCTGCAGGCCCCGCTGCAGTAGTTGCGGGTATCGATTGGCTTTATGCCCAACGAATCGCCACAGCCACCATCAAAAAAAGGAATGACGCAACAAGACAAAATGGTCAGCAAGCAGCCTCAAACCAGACAGTCTGATGATGAGGGCTGTTTTTTTTTCACGCCGGCACGTTTGGGCCCTCCTTCTTCACATTCCGCCACAGCTGCAACCGTTGTTGGAAAGGACACCTTGCGAACCTGCGCGTTTTCGTGCGCGTTTGCCGCTTGGGTTCGGCTGCGGCCGCGCAGGCCCAGCGTTGGCCGATCTCGAACATATCAAAGCTGCTGCACGGCTACTGGAGATGGCCACGGGCTGAGGGGTTTGTCGACACCACCTAGCTTGGGCAACGCGAGCAACTCCGTCAACATGCAACTTGTTTTTCTGTACCGCTTTCACGCACGGGCCCACATGCCAGGTGCTTCGAAAACCAGTGCTGAAACACTACAGTTGCGGGCTTTCAGCTTGGCGGTGTTGGGTGGTGCGACAGGACATATTTTGCGTGACAGGTTCTGTGAAGTGTCATGGGTGCGAAAAAGAGTGTTTCATGTTTGTGCTACTTGTGTTGTCGCAGCGCAATATGACCCATGAGTTCGCAAATGTGACATCAAAGCTCTCACACACACGCACACACACACACACACTGGGAAGTATGATGGGAGCACACAACACGAAAACATGCAAAAAAGTACACCCATGTGAACATGCACACGTACCCGTACACAAGATGAGAACATGCACACATACACAAAAAACCCATGGTCCGCAAGCTTGGATCCTCCTCATGCATTATTGCCAACCATGTTTGAGACGGCACGGCAACCAATTACGCAGGATGCAGGATGCACGCCGTCATTTTGTTGTGGTGGTCCTGTGGGCGAAACCGGGCAAATGGTTCATGCTAATTATAAGATTCGGCTGGCTGGCGTTTTGACCCCGCACAGTGGCCACAAGTCATCAACCGTTTGTCATCGTTTGCCTGTTCGAGTGTTCATCGCACAATTTCATCGCAACGTTGCCTGTCGAGAAAAGGGTTCCATTGCTGTAACCAAATTGCCGAATGGGCCTGAACATGTTGCAAAGGCGGAAAGGGTGAATTGGAGCGCGGGAAGCGGCAGGAGTGTATTTCTGCCACCTCTGCCGTGCGCACGCTAAAACGTACAGCCAAAAACGAAGAGGCCAGAGGTCATTTTCCTTGACCGTTGCGAGGGTGAAACAAGGTTGATGGATGTGTGATGCCGCTGCAAGACTTGCTCCAAACGGTTTCGATGTGTCATATCATGTCACCTTACTTTTTTCAAAACCTTTGGCCAGGTGCCAGCGCAAGCGTTGGCACTCACGCGCATCGTGGAGGCACATGGTTCATCAGTCGTTTCCGCGTGAGGGGCAAGATCTTCATGAGTCTTTGCGTGGGACGGCTGCGTGGCAGCCAGCACCTGCAGAGAGAGAGGAGGAAAGAGATAGATACATGGATAGATAGATCGATCGATCGATCGATAGAGAGATACAGAGATAGGGAGATAGAGAGATAGAGCGATAGAGAGAGAGAGAGAGATAGAGATAGAGATAGAGATAGAGAGAGAGAGAGATATAGAGGGAGATAGATAGAGATAGAGATAGAGACAAAGATAGAGATAGAGAGAGATGATAGAGACAGAGATAGAGATAGAGAGAGATAGAGATAGAGATAGAGATAGAGATAGAGAGAGATAGAGATAGAGATAGAGATAGAGATAGAGATAGAGAGATAGAGAGATAGAGAAATAAAGAGATAGAGATATAGAGATATAGAGATATAGAGATATAGAGATAGAGATAGACAGACAGACAGACAGAGGGAGGGAGGGAGAGAGAGAGAGAGAGAGAGAGCGGGGAAAATTACCATTCAATCAACGGCTCGCCGCGAGCGGCTTGCCAGGTCCTACGCGCCAAGATTGCCATTCAATCCACCCGAGTGCTTGAGTGCTGGCGTGTGAAGACGGTGGGTTCGGCTTGTTGGTCGAGTTGTTTGTGGGATGCCTGGAAAGGAGTCGGAAGTCGTGAGAGGATGTGTTGCGATGCGTTCCTCGCAGATGTCTCTGGTGTTTTTGGGTTCCTGTGTGTTCCTATGTCACATAGGGACCAAAAAAATTCAAGAAACATAGCCTATTATGTCCACAGCTGCTTTTTGTGAACATGATAGGGTCACTGATTTGCCATGCAGATTCGCCGTGCCCCGCCGTGCACCTTGGAACGGCAAGCCGTGCTGGTTGGGTGTTGCCGTCGTTGGAGGTCATGCTAGCATCCTGGGAACGGAGCCAAGAGATCTTCGCCAATGAGTTGCAGGTGCTGAGAGCGGAGGACGCCGTGGGATGCCGTGAGTTGCAGGGCCTGCAGTTTGACAATGAAGTGGGCACAAGAACACCGATCTGATGATATCACTTTCTTGCACGTTCTTGTTTTTGAGAACAGTATGTGTTTTGCTTCTCCATGGTGTGGCGGCAAGGAAGCCCGGCGCCAGGACGAGGACGTCTCCAAAAACCTTATGGTTTGGGCGGAGACCGCCGCAGTTCGAGCGAGGCCTGGAAGCCAACAGGATGATAAGCTTTGATCGATCGGATGATAAGTGTTTTCAGCTACCCTTGCCTCAACACAGGGCGGGCTTTCATTTCAGACGCATCATATGTGTTGATATGTGTTGATAGTCTTGAACAATGTGGCCGCCCGATGGAACAACGTGGCGCTTGGGTCCAAGCCTAGAGCTGCCAAAAGTCATTATGGGCTCACGCGCACACATGGAATAGTAATCCTATGTAATCCTGTACTGAACTGTGCTGAACTCGTTTGTGGTCCTCAATGCGACGTAAGAAACTCGACCGTTATATACATCCGGACTTGATGCACACACGATGGACAAAATGGGGCCGGACGTGAATCGTGGTCATGGAGGTTGAAACGGATGTTGGGAAGACTGCTAGACGCACAAAGGCCCTCCTACCAACATGAGGTTTCGCACGAAACTTATCAACTTGCACGGGTATCACGGGTCAATTTGATTCTTGCCAGGACCTGCGCTTTGCTGGGTGGCTTTGCGCTGCTGAAGCGACTTGGGAGCCTCCGGGTTGGGGGCGCCCTGCAACACTGGAAGGCGTGAGGATTGAAAGGAAGACATAGCCCCAAACATCCCCAAACCATGAAACATCATGGAACTACTCGTGCCATCCAGAAAAACGGGGGTTCCAACTCGGTCAAGACGTGGTCGATTTCTTGAACATGCGGCAACATGCAGCAACGAGGTCCGCAGGATGCTTCAGGTGGAGGGTTCAACTTCAGAGCTTTCCAGTTGACGACTGACTAGACTCATTCATGCCGCAGTGACAGGAAGGCTAGGTTCCGGCATGTTCTGGCCAAGAGGAGCCAAATCAACGACCCACCAATTGGAGTGCAGCGGCGCAGCGCTGAGCTTGTTGTTGCGTTCCTTCCGTTTGTGGGATGCTGGATGCGACCTTTTTTCAGCCGGACGCTCGGAGGCCTTGAGTGCACTTCGGCAGCGCAAGGATCCTGGCCTCAGGCTGGAACCTGGGCGCGATGGGAATCCATTCTCACTAGTCATAGGCATTAGGGCCACCAAGTCAATCATTCCAACATGTCTAGCATGCAACAGCCTGGTCATGCCCTTCCAATGGAAACATTTTCTTTTCAAAACAGTCTTGGCGCGCGGCTCGGGTCATCTTGGGTTTGTTGGCAGGAACCTTGCACGGAGCCTAGACCATGTGGTGCGCACGCGGTTGGCTTTGGCTTGGGCAAGGTGGCAAGGCTGGAATCAGATCAGGCCGGACACGCGCGAACTCCCCGGAAGGCTGGTGACCCAAATCCTTGGCCGGGCTGGCCTGGAGACCTTTCCAATCCTAACAACTCGGGTTCGTGTCACATGGTGCGATAGAAAGTCTTTACAGCCAGCTCGTCGTCCTCCCTCCAAGCATTTTTTTGAGTAAGAGTGCAGCCTTGCAGTGCGGCATCCCTTTGGGGGCTCCCTTTTTTCTGGTGTTTCTGTGATCAAGCTGACCACTCATGTTCGGAACCGATGGTTTGTCCCTGAAACTTTGCGTCGCGGAGAGGCTGTCACAGTGGTGCCACGAGCAGGTTCAGCCAGAGGCCTGAGATGGCTGGAAATTGGACGAAGGGTCCGGGTGGCTGGAGCATCTCCCTGCGCCTGGCTCCATGACGTCACCTGAGAACTGGGTGAACGCGAACATTTGGAGAAGGAATCCTTAAGTGTGGACTGGCTCTGGTGGGAATTGTTCACGTCCATGTGTGTTGGGAGGTGCTGGTGCCCATCATCCATTCCATTTGTTGCAACCCACCCGAACCCACCCGCCTCCGAAGACCTCGTCCGGCGCGAGGTGGAGCACCTGCACGGCACGCCAAGCTCGGTTAGTCGCCGACGTGGCGCGCAGTCGCCCGCAGCGGGTGGGCGATCGCGGGTGGCGGCGCGTGCGGAGGACTTGTTGCGCTTGAAGGTCAGGTTGGCATGGCGAGTGGCTTGGCGGCAAATCTGGGGCAAATGTAGAGCGAATCGGCGAAGTGTACGATGAAATGAATACGAAGAACAATTAATTAAGATAATTAAGAGATGCCAGAAGCTTGTAGGTACAGTGGCCTTGAGGTATCCAATTAGGCCTCCTCATTGGGCGTTTGCTTTTGGGGAGCTTTGCATCGACGGCGCAACTTTCAGCAAGTCACTTAACTTGGCGCCGAAACGCGGCCAAGTTCTAGATCTGATTAACAAAGACGAATTGCCCTTCCTGAAATCATCGAAGTGGAACATGGATCCTTGGACGGCCTGGCCGTCCCTCTCCACAAACAGGTGGTTTTCACCCCACTTCCAGTTTTTTCAGGGAGTGTAGCCTCACCTGCTTGTTCATTGGATTTCCTGCATCTAAAAACCCGCCGCTGGCACGAAGGAGAACGGATGAACAGTGCATCGAAGAACGTCGAAGAACTGTGCTGTAGTTAGTTTCAGCACTTAGCCCTCCTTCCGTAGAAGAGATCCGGTTCAGGTTAAAGATCACTATATAGCTGCACTTGAACTTGGATTCTTTTGATTTCAGCCCTTTGACTCGCCATTGCACGTTGGACGCGGACAACGCCATGGCCCACCGGATTTTGATGATGGCAGGCGATGGGGTGGGAGAGGAACTGCTAGCAGCTGCCAGGCTTGTGCTGAAGGCAACCCGGGTTCCGCTGCAGATCGAATGCATGGATGCCTGCCAACGTGTTTTGGTTTTCTCTCCCATTTGTCATCATATGTGTTAAACTAACATCATGCCCACTTCTTCCCAATATTCAATAATATGCAATATGTTCAATCTAATATATAACGGGTCAAAGTGATGAAAAATATTGCCTTTTGGGGTTTTCGGTGTGGGGGGGTTGTTTGGAGGACCACGTCTCACCCATTGTTGAAACGACCAGCTGCTGCTCGACGGGTGGTGTTGTCTCATCCGAGGATTATGGGAAGACCTACGAGCGGCTCCACGGTCATCCGGTGGGTGAGGAGCATTTGTTGACGATTGAGCGGGTGAAGACAGTGCTCAAGGGGCCGATTGAGATCGATGCCAAGTCCCAACTGTTCCCAGACCCGGTTGAGACTCGGAACCCTAGGACGGACAGGTGGTCAGGTTCTGAGTGCGAGGAAGACCAGTCTTAGTCCACGGATGTTGGAAGATGTCTCCACATCATGGCGTAGGTGGTGTAGATCCAGGCCGAAGCAGCCCCACAGATCTCTGGAGGCCGAGCCTACATTCCAGTGTGGCAATCAGCGACCGAAACAACGAACTGGCGGAAACTTCAATACACTGATCCATCAGAGTGTAATTAGATGTAGTTAGCACCGTTACTCCGATACACCCAAATTGGAGATTGCAGAACATGGATCCACGGGGGAACACTTCATACATCATCATACATCGCAACTTACCACCCTAACGTTACAATGTAAAGGTGTATTGGCGCATTCCTCGTGCCTATTTAAGCATGTTGAGCGTTTGAGTGCTGCCTTCTTGGACATGTTGCTTTGTTGCCTTGGAGGCCACTCGGGGCAAAGCTTAGAGCAACCCCTGCGACTTATGTAGGCACGTCGGTGTGTGATCAGCGTATTCGTATTGACCGGACTGCGCTTCTGTGTGTGCGTGGCGGGTCAGTGGTCACGAGCCCGACGTTGCAGCGCACCGGACCGGCGTTGCGCAGAGCGATTGACAGGCATGGTTTCCATGCCCACTGCCACATTCATTGAGTCTTTGATTCGTTCCCCTGAAGGGCCCCGAACTCACCAATTGTGGATGTTCCAGCCACCTTGAACCGCCAGCTGGAAGGTGATACATTTTCACCCCCGGCGAGCCGTTTCCAAGGTTGGAGATCCGTGGGCGGCGCTTCACTTCTGCCAATCAAGCGCTGCGGAAAATCTTTCAGCTCTATGCGAACGTGCGACCGGCCAAGTACTTGGAAGGCTCCCCAGCCAAGTTTCCGGGCACAGACCTGGTGGTGATCCGTACCTTGGAGGAGCGCCAACGTCCGAAGTCCTGCGAACGTGCTGCTGGTGCGTCTTTTTTCAGTGTGGAGGACTGGACCTTGATGGACCTTGCGTTAAAAAATGCATACAGTAATATATATATATATATATCTATCTGGGCGAATTAAACCGAGCTCATTTGATAAGGTACGAGGTAGAATAAGTTCAAAACGAAAATGCGAGGTAAGTCCAGCGCCAGCGACAACAGCACCAGCAAGAGGGTTTGGGCTTGGATAGCCCACTGCTGGGCGTAGTTTCCACAAGCCACAGAGATTCCAATCATCTGGGCAAATTATAGCGACATCACCGACGTCACCCTGAACTAACAACCTAGGTTTTGAAATTAAGATCTTACATTACTATATGCCCCATTGAAATGTTTCATCAATCACCTGCTCTGGTGGGCCTCACTTGAGCCATGCAGATGATACATTTCATTTATATATCCAATGTCAGAGTCGCACTTCCTTCTCACTTGAACATTCCGGGCACCCTGAAACAGGCGCTGCCTTCGTGTTCCTGTTCCGCGTGCAAAGCACGCGCGCACAAACATTGCGCGGGAAAAGGCGGCTCGCTTCCAGAGGCTGGGATTCGAGCCCGGCCGTTCCGTGTCGGAGGGCGCGGTTTTGACCGCTGGGCCGCTCGTGCGCGGGTTTTGCCGGCAGCAGGCCACAAAGTCCAACCCCGAAAACAAAGTTCGCGGCCTGCGTTGTCTCGGGGCCCGCCAGGGCCTAGTAAGTAAGGAAATGTGGGCAAGCCCCATCAAAGAACTTATTTTGGCAAAATAGGATTTCGCGACTGTAGATTGATTTGTGGCCTTCTGGACGATGTCTCGGGCCCGCGCGAGCCCCAGTAAGGAAGAAAACTGTATTAAGCAGCCCAAATAGGCAAGCCGCATCCAAAAACCCTATTCTGGCCAAATAGCGCTTTACAACTGTTGATTGGCTTGGAGCCTTCTGGACGTTGTCTCAGGCCCTAGCCAGCCCCAGCAAGTAAGGAAACTGTGCTGAGCAGCTCAAATAGGCAAGCCTCATCAAAGCTTATTTTGGCAAAATAGGGTTTCGCGACTGTGGATTGGTTTGTGGCCTTCTGGACGATGTCTCGGGCCCGAACGAGCCCCAGTAAGTAAGGAAACTGTGCTAGTACAGCCCAAATAGGCAAGCCGCATCCAAAAACCATATTCTTGCTAAATAGGGCTTTACAGCTGTTGATTGGCTTGGAGCCTTCTGGACGTTGTCTCGGGCCAGTCTTTCAACCACTACAACATGGCATCCAGCTGATCAGAACTCGGCTACGTGATACCTGGCCACCTCACCTTCTTCAACGCTACCGGTGGGGTCTACATTGGGATCGTCGTCTTCCCTCCGCCAGCCCCAGCAAGTAAGGAAACTGTGCTGAGCAGCTCCAATAGGCAAGCCCCATCAAAAAACAATATTTTTGCTAAATAGGGTTTCACGATTGTGGATTGGTTTGGAGCCTTCTGGACGTTGTCTCGGGCCCTAGCCAGCCCCAGTACGGAAGGACATTGCGCTGAGCAGCTCCAATAGACAAGCCCCATCAAGGCTTTTTCTCAAAGTAGGGTTTGGAGCCACCCACTTGCTCACATCCATGCCAAGCACAAGCAACCCCCGGTCAGCCACGTCCCTCCAAAGGGGGTGCGTGTGCTGGGTGGCGGTCAAGACACAGAGAGAGAGAGAGAGAGACGGACGGACGGACGACGTCAACGTAATTTGGTAACTTCACCCGACGTCACAAAATCAGGTTCCTAAAAAAATGATTTTAACGGACGACCTGTAGTTCACTCAGAATCATCACAGCCAAAAAGCAGCCTATTTTTGAGAAATGGACCCAATAGATACCCCGCTCTCCAAGAGCCTGGTGACTGAAATTGTTGAAATTAAACGAGGCGAGGTGAATAATTTCAAAACATTGAATTAAGACGAGGTACGAGGTGAACGAAATTAATGAAATTGATTTATAATTCACCCAGATACATAGTTAGTTTGCATTTAGGAACTCAGATGGGGCTGTGTGTGATATCCAGACATGGTCCTGAGTGCCAGAGGAACGTACTGGACCAGCAAGTTATATGTGTTCTTGTCAAGGTGATGTGACCCAGGCTCTGTCTGTGAACGTGTTTGGCAAAAAAAATTCTCCCCCGCTGCCTGACCCTTTGCAAAACCATGTGTTTGGGAGATGTCCTGGGCTTGATGTTTTTTCGAAACGGGGCAGGTGGAGACGATGCATTTGGGTGTGCGTTTTAAATCGGGTTTTGGATGTCTTTTCCTTCTTCCAGAGGGCTCTTCCAGGGGGTTGAACTGGGAGGTTTCCCTTTTTTAATGCACCAATTTGCTTTCATTGCCGCCAGATTCAGGTGAGAACACCGAAGGCATGTACACAGGCGAGGAGTCTTGGGAAACCGACGATGCCGTGGTGGCGACGCGGCGGATCACACGGCAGGGAACACGTCGAGTGGCCGAGTTCGCCTTCGATTATGCGGTGCGACATGGGAGGAAGAAGGCGGCTGGGGGTGGAAGGTTGGAGAAGAATCATTTGGATAGCTGTCATAGCTCCAGTTTTTGTGGTCCTGTCTGCCCGGGGGCAATAAAGGTCTACACTGCTGTTTGGGGTTGAACTGACTATGATTCAGTATTTTTTCAAGAGGGGCTGGATGCTCTTGGCCACAGCCACGCCGGTTGAGCATGGGGCAGGTGACGGTGGCTCACAAGTCGAACGTTTTGAGACTCTCAGATGCTCGGCACCGACCGCTGGGGGCTTTCGGTTTGGACCGCTAAAAACGGCCAAGCGGTTGCATATGTTTGTGTTTTTGCAGTTGTTTTCTTTAAAGGAAAGGGATGTAAAGGGGTTTGGCATAGATCGGGATAGGCCAAGCAGAGTGGCTCTACAAGGCATTCTTCCTGAGTGGAGATGTAAGCCAGCGGCATCCTGTTCACCATAACTAAGACTATGACCATGTTGCAATTTCCCTTTTACTGCTTGATGTTCACTTTTTTTGCTTCAAAATTTGAGATACACTTCCAATGCCATTACCAAGGTGTTAACAACTCGCTTAGTCTACGTTTAACAGTTGATGCTAGTGACGTTGCTTTGTGGGAGAGAGAGGTTGCACTCAAGGTTGGGGAACGTCGTTTTTTTCCTTCGGGCGTGTGTTTGTATACATCCATGGGAGCCCCCATCCAGGTTGCAAAGCTATCCGCATGGACGATGTGCTTGTTGCGGGACACCATTCGGAGCCCTGCGACTGGGACACTGGGACACTGGCTCGCCATGCGGGGTCAATCGGCAGCTGAAGGAACGGAGGACATGTGGGACCCGATAGGAGCTTCGCAAAAAACACCTGACCCGAGGACACCCTCTTCTTGAAGGTCTGTCGTGAGGTGGCCTGCAACTACCCTGAGATCCACTACACGGAGCAGCTTTGTGATTCGCTGCTGACGGGCATGGTGATGCGGCCAGCAGAATGGGATGTGACCCTCCTTGAGTGAAGATCGTTTTTTTAATATGTCCTACCCAGCCAGTGGATAACCTTTTCATACCTTTTCCATCCTTTTCCTCTTTTCTCACCACAGCCCGAACAGGTACGGCACGGTATATATATAGTTCGGCCAACCTTTCATAACCTTTCCAGAACAACGGTTTGGGAGTTGAATGTGCTTGAAGTCCAAGTCTCCGCAGTGTCCGCACCTCGCATTTGGCCAGTTGCGATTTTTAGAACGTCAGCGAACTCATCTTTTTTTGCAACAGCCGGACCTTTTCATTATTCTCCCGCCCCTCACGCCAACCCCACGCTCTTCTTAATCCCTTCTTCATGATTCCGGGGCCTTTCTTCAGCTCGCTGAAAAATTCCGGTGGCACCTGTTGGCCGGTTCCCGTCCCAGGTGATCTTATGCGAAAACCTCTTTGGCGACTTGGTCTCCGACCTCGCCGCCGGCCTCGTCGGTGGTCTGGGCCTGGCGCCCAGCGCTCTCTGCGGCGGAGGCGCCGTGGCCATCTTCGAGCCGGCGCATGGCAGCGCACCGGACATTGCAGGCGAGGATTTGGTAAAATGGAGGGTTGGCATCAAGCGCCCAGCTGTTAGCACTGAACCCCAACTTTCTCTCTACATTCCCACCCACACTTCACAAATGCCCCAGGCCCCAAACCTTTCTCTTGCTCCCGTCCATCCCTTCTACTGTACATCCTTCCACCCAATCACTAAGCTCCATCCCTTCACCTCCATCCCCCCTACATCCCTCCACCCCATCCAACTCCTCCCCATCGCATCAACTAATAGCAATGGCCTCCAACCTTCCATCGCGATGGCCTCCCTCCTCCTCCTCCTGCTCCTCCTCCTCCTCCTCCTCCTTGTGAGGCCAAGGTTTGGTGAATCCCACCTCGATCCTCCTCTCCGCCTCGTTGATGCTGCGCCACCTCCGAGAAGCGTCCGCCGCCGACGCCCTGGAGCGAGCGCTGGCCCAGACGCTGCGCGAGCGCCGAAGCGTCACCTGTGACTTGGGAGGTGGGTGACTAGGGATGTTCGGAGAGGAGATAAGGTGTCAAGTTTGTTTTGCTGTATATCCATATTATCTCTATTTGGGTGGTGGTTATGGCTATTGATGTGTTCAAGTGAGCTGAAAGCACCAACCAGCTGGAAGACTCTGTAACGATCATGGTGTTGAGTTTTTGAATTCTGATTGGCCTGATTATCACTGTTTCCTTTCGTGGCACGAGGTGCAGCTGGAACCATGGAGATGGCAGAGGAAGTGGCCAACAAGTTGCACTCATTGGGCCCTGTTTGAGCTCCACCTGGTTGATTTCTTTCGTAATCCGCATCACATCGACCAATCGACCAGCTCCATCGCATCACACCAAAATCAGCTCTGGCCGCTTCCCCGGACACGAGACCGAACGCGACGAGACGCAAGGCGCGGCGTCTTCCAGCAGCTTCGATGTGCAACATCGACACCCAGAAGGATGTCCGCTTGAAGCGGCCAGATGGAGGGCACTCTGGTGGCCTTCCTGAGTGTCCTGAGTCCTGCGAGAAAAGGGGTGGGAATTGAATCTTTGGCTCGGGGGGTGGCTCAAATGCTTGAGACGGCACGTTCGTAGCTAGCGACTTTAGGGCAGCTCTGGGGTATCCGTCTGGTTTTTTCTATCACATTTCTCCTTGACAGTGTGACAGTATTGGGATCCTCCGAACTATGATCCATCAATAGTCATCGTGATTTCATTTGTTGAGAGTCAGAGCCTCAGCGAAGTGCCAATTTCACACCTTTCTCCCAGGCTGACTTTGTCCAGCGCTGTGGCCTTCTAAAGAATGAGGCAGCGGAGGGCGTGGAGGTCAAACACCCCTGGCTTCGGCTCAGGAAAGAAGCGACGCGGGGACATGAGGGAGCTTAGCCTAGCTTTGCCAAACTGCATTTTTCGCCACGGGTATTTTTTGGGGCGCGCCTCTCCTTGACCTGTCCAAGAGCCACATCGATGCTGGACAGGGAATGGGAACGTTGCCCTGTAGGAACCTGGACTTCCAGGGCTCAGCAGCGAAAGCTTGATGTTAGTGACACTGAGTGAGTCTCTTTGGGGTCGGAGGCTGATCGAAAGCGGCCAACGGCAGAGGAGGCGAGGCATGGCAGGGGGAGATGCGATAGTGGAGCCCATAGAGAGCAAGTGTTGGGGATTGTTGAGGTTACACAAAGCCTGATCCAATACGTCCACCACCGGGGGCAGCTTCGTAAATGCTTGGCATCTAGGACTCAGAAGGATGAAGGAATTCATTGACGGCTCGCCACATGAGACTTTTAGCAACACTTTCTTCACAACATGAAGAAACCAAAGCAGATCCTCGATCTATGGCAACATTTTTTCGGTCGTGTGGAGTAATAACGTGTTTCTGATATACCTTTCCAGCCCCGTCTCCAGAACAACGCCCGCAGGCTCCGGTCATGCCCGGACCATCCAACGACACGGTTCCCCGGCCAGGTCTGGATGCTTCGCTTGGACAGGCCAACGGGATGCGAGCATCACAGCCTTGAGTTGGGTTCCTCTTTCACCCGAAGGGCACGCGAACATGGAGCACCCAACTGGTCACAGCTGATGGCTCACCCCCGGCCAGGAAACAGCCCTTCTTTGTTGACTGGCTGACCGCTTTACTAGGAGTTGTTGACTCCACAAGTCCGCTGGGGAGAACAACATGGAACCCCTCAAGCATGCTCAAATCGGTTGCTTCATGGTTTCACTGCACAGGGGTGCGGCTTGCCTTTTGGAGTACACGCTGGCCTCTGCTTATCGAGCGCAGCTGCGCTATGTCGCTTGGCCGACCGAAACGTGAGATCCGCTTATTGCGTCGGCCGAGCGTCCGCTGAACTTCTCGTTTTGGATACCAAGGCCTTCAACGCCATGCTTGCTTGGGCAACTGAGATGCCTTCAAGGTACTGGACTTTGATGTGCTGCGCACGTCCTTGGGCGGGCCTTCAACAGCTTGTGCCCGAGCATTTTTTGCAATGTAATGTGTTCAACCCATGAGTAGGTTTCTGGATAGTCCCTGGGCACTTGACAATTGACTTTGTGGTGCGGTGTGTCTTGGGCATTTCCTGACAGAAACACCTTGATCAAAACTACCATCCACATCATGTCCTGCACAAGGCTCCAGGAACCAATTCGAGACTTGCTGAAAAACATGAGCTGGAGACTGAGCCATTCCCAAGCTTTGGGAACTTATGTGTTTGACGCGCCAGGCGGCCAATGCAAAGCGGATTAGCACTCCGGCAGAAAAAAGCAAGCCTGTGCCCGGTGCTGTGCATGCCTGGAGTGCCGTTGCCAAGTTGTCTTCCGCTTCCTCCTGCCTGGTGCGCACCGGCCCTTTCTCCGGGTGGTGTCCGCTGTGTTGTTCTTCGACAATGGAGGCGGACGAAGATGCAAACCGCCAAACGGAGACTCTTTGTCACAATCTGTCCGACGGGATGACTCGTTGGCAGAGGTTGAGCAGATCTGGAACACTTGTCCGGAGTTGTCCAGCTGGTTCGCTGGAGTCGAATCGCATCATCTATGATCAATCACTCCTTGGAGGAACTTTTGCCTTGCGAAAGTTGCCATCGGCTTGTCATATTCAACTTTTCTTTTTCTCTTGGGCAGATGGCACTCCCCAAGCGTTCTAACTCAGAGTGATCCGTTTTGTTTCTGGATCTTTTCGGGTGTCCATGTGTGTCGCAGACTTGAAAAGACTTCGTCAACTAAACCGTATCGGTGGGGGGGATGTTGGGGGCCTCCCTGTTCCCACATGTTCTGAACAGGAAAGAACAGGGATAATAAGGGCGAGTCGAGTCAGGTCGGTAGATGCCCACGACTCTGGTTTCCAACCTTTGAGCCTGAGTCGGCCGTAATTATATAGTGGACGATAGTATCTATAGTGGCGTTTTCCTATCCCATTCTTAGTGGGCGAATTCGTACCTTGGACTAGACGGGCTTGAATTGAAGGATTCTTGGGACTTCCGAACTTTCCCATGCCATCCCATGTCCTGTTCTTGGGTGCAAAAATCGCTCTTGGGTTGGAGGCCATCGCTCTTAGGTTGGAGGCCATTGCCGTTAGGTTCTCTCCCGTTTGGGTCTTTTGTTTTGGCCTGACACCGGACCCTCGCAGCTGTGGCTCGGCGACCGACACCGCGTCCGCACCGACCGTCGTAAAAGCCATGGCACCGCGCGCGGACGCCCGGAAGCCACGTCTCACCGGACGCCGCGGAGGTGTAAAGGAATCGCAGATGTTGGGGATTCTTGGACAGCCACTGATTTCATGGTGCGAACGCATGTGCCAGCCAGGGTAAGGCTTCCAAGGCTAGATTCTATTAACTTCTCACATCTCTCCAAACCTGTGTTTCCTTCCCAGATCTTCATATTTAAGCTATTTAAAGCTATTTTTTGCATTGTTTTTTGCAAGGAAAGTTCCTCCATTGGAGCCTCGGAGTTGCTCCACCTGTGCCACTAGGTCCTGTCTTTGCGCGACACCTGTCCGGACCAGGTGCGGTGCGCAAGGCACGCGGGCGCGTGCCTCAGACCACCCATATGGGATATCGTTTGGTTTCGTCGAAGAACCGCTGCAGCATCTGTGCCTGGTTGATTTCGGGGCTTGGACACCTTCCTCTCACCTTTGGAGAAGAATCTTCCGCGTTTTGGAAGCGTTTGAAGCCGGAAAAATGACGTCCCGAACTCGGAGGACCAGTTTGGAGGTCCAGTGATTTATTTGAATGGGCTTTGCGGGCCATGTTTTTTGTTTTTCTTCACTGCTTTTTTCTCCGGGAGCTGTTGTGACAGACCCGATGCTGGCACATCATCGACCTTCAAAGGAGTGATTTTGCGATGTTTTTTCGTAAGGTTCTAGCTTCTTGTTACTACTAGTAAGGCACCTGTTACTAGTAGCGTGGCACTTGTTACTAGTAGCTTCTTGTTACTACTATAGGCATTTGTCATCATTTGCCCAGGTGGAGGGTCTGGGGGAGTGAGACGATTAAGACCAGCGAAAGTGGATGAAGGAGGAAAGTGCTGGCAGGCCATGTGGGTTTTCATCGTGAGGCTAGCAGCCAAGTCACATGGCTTGACGAATGGGTACTTGGGCGCCTTGTCATGCTGCAGCGGTCTCTGGATGAAGCAGACTTGAGGAAAGATCTCGATGTGCTTTTCAGTGCAAGTTCAGTCAGTGGCAAACCTTGCCAATTTCAACGGCTGAATGAGAAATGAATGATATCATAATGTATACCGCACACACACACACACACATATATATATACACAGCATACAGCATACATGGAAGCACATTGTTTCCGGCAAGAGCCCAATGCACACATTTTTCTTGGAATGCCACAGGTTTGTTAGAGGAAAACTCTTGAACATCATCTAATGGGGCTAGGCCGATATTTCTTCTCTGAAGAAGACGAGTCCTTGTGCCGGGGGCTTATCTAGAAATGGCAAACATTGAAATATACTGTGTATATATATATTTATACTGTATATATGTCTCTCTCTCTATAATCTGGCCCCATGGACGACCATGTTCTGCTGAACGTTTTCAACAACATCGGCAGCTCCGTTTCCGCAACTGCGCCATGCAAGCTGCCGGTGGCGCCTCTTTCTCCCTGCCATGGCTGGACAAACAGAGCTACACATCTCTACGGCCTCTTGGGCAGCACGGTGCTTCAGTGCACGAAGCCTTGCTTGGCGAATGGATGCCATGCATTTTGCGTTGAGTGTTGCCATTCAGCACCAGTTGATCGGGCCGGGCTTCAACAAGTTTCCCCGGTGTTCACATGCTGGCCCAGCGGTTCAGCAATGCCCCTTGACTCCGAGGATTCGTGAAACATGTTACAAAACATCCATGGCTAGGTGAGCTCAGATGAGGTGGCCAGCTATGGCCAGCTGATCCAGCTGATCCTGCTCGATCGCTTTTGGCTCAGACCCCGTCAAAGCTCACCGGGTCGCGCCATGGCGGATGGCATGCTGCGGTCTCCCACCTTTCTGGTTGGAGCAGAGAGGCAGCGCAAGAATCTGGACGAGTTCAAGCGGAGGGAACAGCAACTGGCGGAAGCCTATCACAAGAAGCCTGGATGGAGCTGGTCTTCGGACTTCTTGGTGTTTGAGTTTGCCCTTTTGGGTTCTTGGGGTTTCTCTGAGGTAAGGGACCAAGCATTTATATATGTGCCTCAGTAACCAACCACCGCAAGGAGGAAAGAACAGAGTCTGTTTGGTGTAGTTGACCGGGGGCTTTTCTGCGCTACCCCGGGTCTTCGGGTGTTTATCCGGTCCGAAACACATACCACCTCAGGAACAAGCCGCTCTGTTTCAATGCTTGCTCCTATCAACGAACTCATCCAGTGAAAGCCCAGAAAGGTCACAAGGAGCTTGTCCACCGAAACTCGGTCGGGTTTTCCGGCGGCTCGGGCGGCTGGGTGTCGCTTCGGTCTTGGGGAGTGCGGGAAGACGACACAGTCAATCTCACAGAAAAGCGTTTCGGAGTGAAGATCTCCCGGTTCCACCTTGCGAGACTTCCTGGTTAGAGTTGGCTTCAGTGAGTGCTACCTGTAGTGACACTGTAGCATGGAGCCATGGAAGGCCTTCCTCTTGCCAACCATCTTCACTTTATGGATTGCTTATCATGCTTAATGCTTACATGCAGATTCTTTTCTGCCATGCCAATACTGCAAGTGATGAAAAACCAACAAAAGTACCATCAGGTACCATCTCTGCCAAAACCCTGTTGCAGGGGCTGGTGACCCATCGAAGCTTGACGATCACCACAAAACATGAAACCTCAATCCGGAGTTCAAGGGCAGTTTCAAGAGCATATTCGAAGTCGAGGATTCGAAGTCGACTCGCGGTCAGTGGTCAACATCACAGCCACCACGGCAGGATGCAGATGCATGTCTAACAGTGCCTTTGATTCTGGGCGTGGCGGATGGCGTCTCACAGAGCCTCGGTATTGTTGCTGTCAGAGCTCCACTCCAAAGAGCGTTGCTCCCTCAAAACCTAGCCATTTGGGAATTTGTTCGAAAGGTTGTGCAGTGTAAGATCGTAAAACCGTGGTTGTTGCACATTGCAGGTTAGGGATTTGCCTTCTTCCAGACGCAGAGACGTGCAGGAACCCTTCGCCGACGCCGATCCTTTTGGGATCGTACCTGAACGCCCATCGGGTGTGACATGTGGGAATCAGGCGGACGATGGAAATCCACTTGGTCGTTCTCTTTTTCTCACATCCTTGGCAGCAGTTTGCATTCCTTTTTTTCGGCGATATCTTCTACACACATCTACACACTGCAGCAGCCATATCTTCGTTTATACTGGATAAACCACCCCTTTGGGTGGTGCAGTGGTGCGGCACAACTTGTTGAACTTTTACTGCAACGCAGCTGGGAAGCTGTTGTTGATGCACCACCTGCAAAAGCCCAAAGGCATTTACCACCTCGTTTTGTTCTCCCCCTGCTGGTGCGGTCTTCCAGCGGCAGCGCCACTGTTTGGTGAAGAAGGACATCAGCCAGTTCCTTTCAAGTTTTCCACCATGGGTTGCCGAAAAGGCATCAACAGCTCTTCTCAGCAAGTCCCGGCGGGGTGAATGGAGCTTTGATGGCTGTGTCCCCGCACGCAGCACATGTGAAAATTCGCTCGCTGTTTTGTTTCTTTGATTCTACTAGCGGTGGGGCTCCACCCAGTAGCGACGGGGCTCCAACCTAAGCTCCTGGTCAACTCCGTCGTTCTGGAGGCCTTCACGTATGGGACTCGGACCGTCTCAGGATTGAGGACTTTGGCATCGATGCCTCGGTGCTGCCCAACGAGCTGCTGAACGTGGTGCCCGCACCGCGCGCGTCCGCGGAGCGCTCGCGGGTTCGGCGTTGAGGGGATGGACTAAAGAACTGGGGAAGTGAGGTGAAACAGGACTACGCTCTTTGGTTCCATTTGAGTGAGCTTAGGTCTCATTCGTTCGGAGATCTCCTTGCCCCTCTAGCCAACAGAATCTGGACCCCAGACTAGCCTGGCTGTTTAGATAGATAGTTGCCCGGATCTGTTGGAAGAACTCTGCAACATCACCTGGAATACGCAATGGATGTAAGGATCTTTTCTTGCTTTCAGGTGTCGCAGCGGTGCGGGATTTCTTGCTTTACGAGTAGCACACCCCACTCACTCCTGCCTTCGGCCCACACCTGTTTTTTGGGTGGAAGAGTTATTGGGAGGGGCACTGGTTCCACCTGATGTTCACGTTTACCCTAAGCCAAAGTTGGATCCCTGTCACTCGGTGGGTTGTTGTCCTTTGATTCTTCTGCAAGGGCAGTACCCTTGAAGCGGTTGAAGTCATATAAGTACAGTAACTCTCCACTCAGTCCTTGCAGATCGGTTCCATGTTAGTTCTCTTGTGGGGCGAAGAAGGCGTTGCATGTTTATCATGGTTTATCTATTGGAGGGAGGCACGTTTTGCCTCCACTCACCCCCCCCGCTCCCACATGCGACGCAACCGTCCCCAGCCTCTATCTCTTCTCCGTCCTCGACAGGTGGAGCAGTTGGGCATGCACCAACTCCTCCCCAATGTGAGCCTCTCAGCGGGCGACACCTACCGCGGCCCCGTGTCCATGCTGCGGAGAGCCTTTGAGGCTACGGAATCCCTGGGCTCTCTGACGGTGGTGCTGGCCATCATGGATCACTGGCAGAGGGTGGGCTGGAGGTGCTGGTGCTGGTGCTGGGTGGGGTTCGGGTGTGGGTGACTGTGTAGAAGCCTGGGAAAAGGTTCCAGCTAACCAGGTCGGCTGGCCCTCTTCCCCACTCAGACCAATGTGGTGGTGCCCCGAAAGGGCTGCGGCCACGTCAGGAAATTTATGAAAATAGGGTCCAAGAAGAAGCTCGCGAAACATGAAACTTGCAACAGTCACCTCATGTTACCTCATGTCTTTGGATCCTTTGGTCGCCTATTCTCCTGCTTTCCTGAGGACAACTCCACGCGGATCCATGGAAAGCTTCATCCGATGATCGCCATCATCACAGTGGGTGACTGCGAGTTGTTAGTGCTGCGAAGGCTTGCAGGGCCTCGCTCGCGGCTGGAGCTGGTCTGCCACACGGAGATGCAGAGGATCGATGGACATGCGCAAACTCCCTTGCAGCTGGCCAGGGTCGATGATCGAGGCTGAGACAGATCTTGAGCAATCTGGTTTTTGGAACCCTATGGAGTCCGAAACTGCTTGGTACATGTGGGTGAATCTGAAAACACAAACACTGCCCCAGAGTGTTGTTCCCAAATTGGCACTGCTTGAGCACACCCTAAGGTGTCATTTGTACTTTTAATGGTTTTGCTGAGGGTTTTGGAGGGCCTCCCTATGTTACCAGGGTAGGGTTGGTAGGAGAAACCTCTTCTCATCCGAGTCACATCAGCTCAAGAGTGGCATGTCTAGGTTTTGATTCGACAACCGCGAGCCGCGAGAACAGACACATTTCCAGAGATGTTTTGCAACTCTGTATTTCCCAGATCCGCTGGAGCAGTAAGGAATTGATCCAAACTTCCATGAAGAGTTGACCATCGAGGTCATCGAAAAGGGTAGTGCTGTCCATTGCGTGTCTGCTTATGAAGGTGACATCGTTATTATGGGCAGTCACTTGCCTCGCAGTTCATTGTGCTGGCCCCGCAGAAAGCGCAACAAATCCCCACAGATGTTGGTGCCTCAATTCCGTCCAAGAGGCATGCTGAAACGCTTTCTCCACTAGCTCCTCTGAGTCCAAGAAGTGCCCCGTTTTGATCCAAGAAGTGCCCCAAGGTGTGATTGAGGAACTCTCCAGAGATTGGTCAGAGAGACCCTCAACTTCATCCCTCAAGCATCCTGCATATGGGCAACCATGGGAGACCTCCCAAAGACCTTGAAGGAAAATAGACCCAACCCCATTGGTTGGGCGTCTCCCTGTTAAAATGAACACCCAGGCTGTGATCCCCAATCGGCACCGGCAACTTCCAGTGAGCCAGACAAAAACAGACCTGAAGAACTCGGCAACAAACAGGGTTCACCTTTGCTGAGGTGACGGTGTTTTCGACAATCTCTTTTTAGATGAAATCTTGGTGGCTTGGCTTCGAAATCTTCGGAATGTCCGGGTCCGAGAATTGGGATCTCCTTCGAGGGTGATGGGTTCTGTCCCACCCATCCCCACCAGTCCCACACCCGTCTGGAGAGAGAATCGGCTGGCCTTGAAACATGCATTGACGTATTGAGAAGGACCTCAACCGTACTAAGTGACTAACAGTTCAACAAACTTCACCGCAGACAGCGACAAACATCTTTGGTAGATGTAATCAAGTGCTCATTTAGATCAAGTGCTCATTTGTTAGGATGTTAACGTCAGCTTGGGCGGCCTTCCCTCAAGTGCAATTGTGGCACGTAGAGCATATCACCATAGCTGATAGGATGTGTTTCATGGACAAGTACCTACTTGAGAGGAGGAATGCAGCAAAACCGCACTACTGGACCTCACCGTAGCATAGCAGAATATAGCAGAGGCCTCAGAGAGCTCCAAACGATAAACATAAACAAGTCATAGGGGTCTTGAAAGTGGGTCAGGTCTTGCTAAAACATGCGCAACCGGTGTTATCTTACGGTTTTGGTATGTTTTGGTGATCTGGGCTTTGTTGGTTTCTGATGCTGCCTTGGTGTCGGGTGCGATGTTAAAGCCTGCCTATGGGTAAGGTTTTGGGGATGTTTGGGGTAAAGCTCGTGTAGGACTTGTGTGTCTGTGTTTTTTTTTGTTTTCCGAAGGACTGGTTGATTTGGGACGAGCTCGGTTTTGGGCACCTCTTTTTCAACGGGCCAGCGCCAGCGCCAGGACCTGGCCAATGGCCTTTTGGGCGTGAGCCCCTCACAGGTGCAGCTGCGCATGTTGGCGCAGCGCATCGTCGAGCAGTGCCACGCCAAGACACGGCCGCTGCCCAACGGCGCGTTGCCCGAGGCGCCCATTGGCCGTGGCGGCAAGAAGGAGCGAATGACGCCCCGGCTCGATCGGGTTGAGCGATCGTGAGCTGTTGGGGGGTTTGTAGAAGATTTGTTCTCCGCCAGGCTCCTTGATAATTACAGCATCGCGCATCGCGTGTGGCATGGTTTCCCGCCAGGATGACACGAGTTGTGTGGTGGCCGAAGTGGTTGAATGGACGGAGGAGCTGCAGAAGCTTTGGGCTCCAGAGGCATCGAACCAGTTGAGTCGAAAGCCTCCCACTTGGATAGGTGTCCTGATGGATCATCCCTGGACGTTTCCATTGACACTGTAAGTGATACAAAGTGCCTGTCCCGGGCAATCTTGCTGGAACATGGAGAACATGTTGGGTTTTCATGATTGTTTCAGATGTTGGAGGCTCTACATAATATCTACTGTAACTGTAATGTCTGGAGGTGTTACTTGGCCTAACTCTGGGACTCTCAGAGGCGCCCGAGAAGACCTGGAACTCCTTTGGCTTTAAGCCTAGCTTGGCCAGCAGCATCCTAAACCTCAACAGCTGCTGTGTGGCAGCCTCCGAGTCTGACGATGACGAGTACGACATGTTGAAGCCGACGTATCACCCCAACGTGCCTGCGCAGGGCCCCACGCAGCAGCCCAGGGAACCACATCCAGATGCCCTCGCGCGGCCGCCGAGCCCCGCCCGGCCGCGGGCAAGGATGCCGGTCCATGGTTTCGGGGGTCATGGAGGTGAGCCACCTCAAATGCCGCTGCATCCGAGCCGGCCGGGCATGCAACCGGTGCAATTTCAGCCATTCCAGGGACATGTGGCGCAAGGAGGGTTCCAAGCCTATGGAAGTCATATGGGCCAAGTGAGCCACGGCATGGCATGCCCTCAAAGCTATAGCACTTTACCATCTTTCCCGGCTGGTGCCACAAGCTGGGGCCGCTGAGAAGTTCAAGCTGGGCCCAGCTAGGCTCGATTTGGCCGCACTTATGCAGTCCTCCAAGCGGCGCTCTCCAAAGCGGCAGCGTTTTGAGAAGGAGTGTGCAGGTCCAAAAGTTGTTGCTCAAACATGATGTTCCACCATGCATTTTCTTGATGTACATTGCTATCGGATACTACCGGTGCCTCTCCCTTTTCATCGCTTCACTTGTGGGCTCCCTGTGACCTATTTACTTTGGAGGGACCACTGGAGTCGGATTGCTGGCAGTGCCATTAGAGGCCGTGTTTGAAGCTGCCGTGTTTGAAGCTGCCACATCGAGGGTGTTGGGGAGAAACTGCCCAGCACCCCGTGTGGCGGAAATTGAGCTGCATGCCACCAATGACACGCGCGATCGCAGTCGAAACATGGAAGAGAGAGATAGAGAGAGAGAGAGAGAGACATGTTGGAGGATGTGTGAAGCTATGCAGGGTCAGTGAGCCTTTCTTTGTATTTGTTGATGTTTCTGGTCATGGAATTGCCAGTTTGCTTTGAAGGACTCACTGAGGGAAGGTGGAGTTGAAGAGCAACGTGTTGGTTCGGGGCATGCATCATGAAGAAAGACCTGTTGATTTTGAGAGCCTTTTATCCGTTGTGTTGCATGCCTTCGCGTGGGAGGGTGGCGTGTAGAGACAACTTAACTTGAAGGTGGGGGTTCAAGTTAATTAGTCGCCCTTCTTCCGGAGGCCACCTTTATTGAGACCACTGATTGACAAGTCCTTTCACATTACTCCCAAACCTGCACTCGTTTGAAGCATTTGTTCTGAACCCTGGCCACGCCATGCCCCACCACCATACTCCATTTGGGTTGATGTGCCAGACCTCTACAAAACTGTTCCATCCTGAAAAGAAGGCAACTACCTAGTCTGGGTCGGCCTGGGTAAGTAGGATATTGTTTGATCAACATTTCAGCTCAAGATATCTCAAGATGTTCAGACAAAACCAGTGGCTTGCCAAAGGCAGTGCCGTTTGTGACAGTTTATCTTCCAGTTGGGACAGCCTTCGTTTGTTCCGGGCAGGATTCAAGACATAGCGAGAGAGAGAGAGAGAGAGAGAGGGGAGGCAGAGTCTCATCTCTGGCAGTCTTGACGCGTGTCACAGAATCATCAACTGTACAATATATGTTAGCTTCTTTTTGAGTTACTGCTGCGATCTGCCGCAGGGTCCTTAGGCGGGGATTTGCACTTGGCGCTACCATCCACGCCTTCCAAGTGATGAGGCGTAGTTGTTGAGGGTCACCAGCCCAGGTCTGGCACGTTAACGCTGGAGCAGACCTCAGAGGAGGCCTCCTCACCCAGGCCTAAGCGAGCTCCAGAGCGGGGGATGTCCGGTGGAAGACAGCGAGAAACGAGCCCATGCCACGGGGAGTCTTTGAATTATGGCAGGCATGCAGGGCCATGCCATCCCTGGTCCCTTGCGATCCCTTATGAGATGTTGGAACGACAGTGGCCAATGAGAAAGATCAGACAGGTTCTGCTTTGGTCAGGGTCCTTTTTGGGAGAGGAGATGGTAAGGGGTATCAAGCATGTCGTCATTGATCGATACCAGGGACGCTCGGATTTGCCCCCTGCTCGAACCGGATCGGCCACCAGCCATGGACATGCACGATGTCTTGAAAGATTCCCTGCTTTTTCTCTCGCTTGGGCACCTGAAAGGGCACACGTGGCATTGGTCTTCAGATTTTGAAGCAGTCTCGCACCACTCTTGATCGAATTGGTGTGCGTGCCCACCTTCCCTCAGGTCCCATCCCTCCCCCAGGTCGCCTGCGCCCGATCGCATCCCCTCAGCCGGGGGCGCTCGGATGGCCGCCGTCTGGGGAGGATCCGAGGCCGAGGCGGTCAGCACCGGACCGCGCGGTGGGAGCGACGGGGAGATTCAGACGGACGGAGGATTGGCATGGGTCGGTATGGTCAGTGCACTCTCATATTTGGCATGGACCGATGTGTGCAAGTGCGCTACTGCTGTAGTTGCATGTGTTTGATTTGTTTTTGCCATCGGGCAACCCAAACTGCACGTCCTTGTGTGAAGAAGTGCGGAGGCCATTGACATGGTCCAGTTTGCTAGAGCCCATGATGTGGCTGGGAACTGTGGGCAAAGGACAAATGACATTGCAGATCACAATCTTCTGATCCCATCAGTTCCTAGTCTGACTCATGGCTAGGGTCAACCAATTTCTCAACGAGAGTTTCCGCAGACTCACCCGGTTCACCTTTCTTGTCTCGGTCTAGGCCCAGATCGATGCAGATCTTGAGGAGGACGCCCAGACAGCTGGGAGAGAGAGGATTCATTCATTGGGGGTGTTTATCGCCAAACCATTGGGATCGTTTGGACGCGTGAGTGTCGTGCTGCGGTTGCTTGCACATTGGTGTTTCTTCCAGGGTCTCGGAACCATCATCTTGCTCTCAGTCCATTAGGTCCTTTCTTGAGCACTCTCACGGTTTTCCATGCAGAAATGCATTGACGGCTTCTTTGTCCGGTGTGCCGGAAGCCTGTATTTCCCCCTCTCAGAGGTGCAGAACCCCGTGTGCCTGCGTGCCCGCGCAAGCTGTAAGGAAGACGAGGACTGTCGCTGGCGGCTCCCACTGTGCTTCTTATTTGCAGCGCTTTTGTGGTCTATGCTGCTTTGGGCTGCCTTGACTGTAAGATGTGAGCCGGGGTGGCTGAGGTGTGCAGGGACTGCAGGGACATAGGGACTTGAAAGTGGAGCGAAGTTTCTTTTATATGGTGCTTTGATGTGGAGAGGGTAATAGCTTTCATCAACTTGCCATGTTTGAACCCAGCGCACTGGCCTTGCCCTTGCGCTTTATGGAGACAAACTCATGCGAAACATGAATCCACCACCTCATGATTCTGCGTGTTCTGGTGGCAATGATCGTTTAAAACTCAAAACCTTATCAAATCATACCTAATTGACAGAACTCGTGGTGGTTGGCTTGGTCGAGATACGTGAGGGGAAGCATGGGAAGGGCAACCTCTTGTGAGGCTCCTACCAGCTGGTGGATACTGCCTGTGCAAGTGAACATATGGGCTCATCCGTCCAAGCTGTCAAGAGGTCGAAGTACATTGGGACTGCTGGTGAGCCCCACCGTGTTGTATTCTGTTCTGCGGCCACGTGACGTTGGGGCAATACGGGGCACGAAAAGCACCAACCATCACCAACCATCACCAACCTACCTGGACCTTCCAAGAAGTCTCCAATGGAGAGTAGTCCAGCGCCAGGGATGGCCAGGGTATCTTTGGCAATAGGTCAGTTGTTCTACGAGACCGGCCGGTCTCGCCCCGGCGGTCTTTAAGGCACTCATCCGGAGCGACAATCCACAAGTGCGTCCGACACTGTATCATGTGGTCTTCTGGTATGGAGTGCCCCAGCTGAAAGATGACTGACAGGATGGAAAAGGCTTTTTCACGACCCCCACCGAAGTCACAGCACCTTCACCCTTTGACAAAGAGGTGTCAATTCTATGGCACTATGGCTTCGTTGATGAACCCATCTTGATTCCACAAACCGAAGGCATGACAGCGCTGCGTGATACACCGCCATTTGATGCGGCATTTAGCTCCTTCTATTTCTGGCTTCATTGAGGGTGCCACGTGTCATGATAATTGGTCTGAGAATAGGCACTCGTACCTGTGATGTAGTTGGTTGTTTGAGAAAGCCAGGCCCACAGCGTTGCCACAATGAATTCCACTTTGACAGTCAGATGCTTGAAGCTGTTTTTCTTCCATTTGCCAAATGATGCAATCATTTGTTCGAATCAGATATATAGAAACATTAATTGTGTGTGAATTGGGGTCTGTTTAACATGTGATGCCAAGCGCCCCAGACTGCAAACCAGAAACGCATCATGGCCATGGCCAGGCCCAACTCGGCTGAACTCGGCCTCTTTGGTCGTTTGCCCATGTCCTCTTTGTGCAGGTGATCTTGGTGTTGGTACCCACCACCGTGCTGGTGGCAAAGGTTGGGCGGGCCCGATGGACGGACGAAGAAACACACCGCTTCGGACCAGTTGGAGCGAGTGAGACGAGTGAGTCCATGGATTTCGTGCGGTGCGAAGGGATTCACTGTTGGTATTCTCCGTGTCTCAATCCGGTGAGACTTGCCGTGGTCACATGTGTCTTTTACTGGTGGTTTTCTACCTCCAAAACCTGGGGTACCCTACCCTGTGTGGGTTCGGACCTCCTACCGGGGCGAACGTCGGATCGATCCACTGATTGGGAGGTTCCTTAGTCAGGACTTGGGATTGGCTGGCCCAATCCACTTTGGTGGTTGGTCGAGGGGGTTGTTGAACATGAAGCAGTTGGGGGTTTTCGTGAATGGGAAGTAAAGGTCTCACATACCATGTGTGTGTGCGTGTGGGTTGTGATGACGGCAAGGTTCAGGTTCTTCCAGGTGCCTGCATGGCTGCCGTGACTCTTTCATTGTGGGACCGCACCGAATGGAATGTTCACAAGCGTGTTGGTGATCACGAAAGCTAGCCTTAGCTAGCTGGAGTTGCTCTTGCTTTAGCAAGTTAAGTGACGGGGTGGACGCACCTCAGAAACCTCAAATAATTGATTAAATCAATCTTATGGACCCCCCCCCCCCCCCCCCCCCCCCCCGCGGTTCGACTCCCCCCTGCGCGCGGTGAGCGGGACCACCAAGCAGCTGCAGCACACCAAGCATCTGCAGCGCCCAGCGCAGCAGCGGCAGCAGCAGCAGCAGCACCAGCAGCAGCAGCAGACCACCCAGCGGCGGCAGCAGCAGCAGCAGCATACCCAACGCCGCGGCAGCAGCAGCCGCAGCAGACCACCCAGCGCCAGCAGCAGCAGCAGCAGCAGACGACCCGGCGCCTGCAGAGCACCCAGCGCAGCAGCGCCCAGCGCAGCAGCGGCAGCAGCAGCACCAGCAGCAGCAGCACCAGCAGCAGACCACCGGAAGCCCGGCTAGCTTTCGTTCACCCCCTCTGGCCTCAAGTTGTGTCGTTGTCACTTTGTGAGGTGTAGTGGGCTGAATATTGTAGTCAGTGTAGTGGGCTGGTCCAAAGCAAGCACTCCTCCAAATCGACTCAGTTGGCACCCCTCTCAAAGAAGTCCTAGTCACCAGTCTGTTCTTTCGCTCCCAGACCCTCCGGGTGTGCTCACCGACGGTTGACCGCTCACCAGGCCATCATGAGCTCGCGCGTGGCCAATGGCTTAAGGGCTCTGAGCGACTTCGTCCCTCGACCGCCGAAGGACGAAGATGACGAAGGGGTAGGTGTGCAGGTTGGCCGCCCCCAACTCATGAGGTTCTTTACGGTCCATGTTTTTTTGGTTTGCTTAGCTTGCTCCTCGGCATTCAGAAGCTCCAGATTTCCAACATCAACTGAGAGCTGGGCCATGTTGGGCAGTGACCCCCATGTGGCACCCACTGGCCCTCGCTCATGAGAGGCTCTGATGGAAGCGGCTTTGGTTAGAGTTGTCCTGAAGCATTTATTACTGTCACGGTGGAGGTTAGAGAGGAGACCAAACATGATCCAGGAATCCCGCCGGACATCCAGGACCGCCGGACCTCCAAACGTGTCCAAAAACGTGGCCAAGTCCGCAAACATCGAAGAACGACAAACGGCCTCTCTGGCCACGCCTGGTTGACTTCCAGTATCATTTTGTGGGCCAGTTGGACTCTACAGGATCTCCTTTGTTGGAACACACCATCACCAGGTGCTCCTCATCCCCAAACGAACGGACGATCCGAGATCGGCACCAGAACGGACGGTGGCGCGGACTGGAACTGGTGCGGTGCGCGGGGACTGGGACTGAGGTGCTGCACATGGAGCTTAAAGTTGAGTCCACCTATGTCTCTTGGTGGAGATTGAGGGGACTGGGACTGGTGGAACCGGAGTTGGAACCTGAGTGGACCTGAGCTGGTTTGACGAGCTTTGGGAACTGTTTGGGTTTGATTGCAATGGCTGCGCTGAGAGCAGATGGCCCAGTGAGAGTGACAAAAGAGGAAGGACTACTGGAACCCTTTTCTGTACAGGGGCTTCCTGTGTTTGAGATGTGCGTCCTCAGATGGCCGGAACAAACCAGAGCCTCCTCGTTTGATTCCGTTCCACTTTCATCAGATGTTATGTAGGTGTAGTTGGTGGTTAGGGTGGGTTGGATATTTGGCAATTGCTCGCACGTGCAACCAGCCGAACCGAGACCTTGGTCCATCATAGCCAGCCTATGTGGTTTCAGACCGCAACGAATCAGCAAGGAAACTGGAACAAAATCCGCCGCCCAATTGCTTGCACCGTTTCTTCAACAAGGCGTTCTTCGGAGTGATTCTTTCATCCACATGAAAACTTCATCAGCTTAAACCATCGTCACATGCGTGCCAACCATCGTCAACGCCGACGTGTTTTTCGTTGGACATTTGGCGCATATGGCAACATCCAACTTGCACTGAAGCTCGGCCCACGAAAAACGATTGGTGCCCACAAACCCTACGGGGTGCCCACTCTGCTCGGACTGCAGCACCTTGGAAAGCCCTCAGCGCACCTAAGAAATTGGTCAGACTGTGATCGTCCAGATTTCCAACCATAACCATGGCTGGGCCCGTCTTTTCGGGCAGATCTCAGTGCGGAAAGGAAGGAATGAGCAAGTTGGGTGGCTTGCACCCGGTGCCTCCCCCTGAGTCTTCTTCAGCTGGATCAGCCATGACCACCTCCCCCGGTCCAATTTTTTACGCAAAAACCACCGTCCCCGCCCTCCGCCGCCCCCGGTCCGTTCGGGCATCCTGGTTTCTGCAGGTGGATCTCAGTGAGGGCCTCATTTGCATTGACGGCCTGGAGCTGAAGAATCCTCCTGGCCGTGCCTGGCGATCTGAAAAGCTCTTGACCGCCAAGCGCCGCATGGCAGCGAGGGAAGCGATGGAATTAATAAGCGAGAGAGCGATGATGAGCGATGGATGGGGCGAGGGGTGCGAGATTTGGAGGAAGATGGGAGGTGTTCACGCAACTTGGCAAGTTATTGGGGGTATTTGCTTATGTTAAAATTGCATTATATATATATATTATATTTACTTAATTAATACACACACACATATATATATACACAGTATGTTTGAATGCAGGTGCCCAAAGAAGCAGTCACAATAGGATCCATTCACATAGATGGTTGTGTGACTTTTGGAGTCGCCAGCAATGAGAACGCTTAGAACCATTTGGAGTACATGTCATGAATATCACGTGGGGGGTGATGAGAACCAGTGCCTACGACGCACCAATGTGGCCCGATAAAAGAGGAGCGCCAAACCATGCGGAGTGTCCTGCTAGGAGCGGGACACTCCGCCATGCTGCCAGGGCTTTCAGATGATTTCAGCTGGTCGGTGGAAACAACTGGTCCGTCGAATGTGAAGCCCCTTTTGACTTGCACAGGTCGAATCAGCCAATGGGGGGATAGATGTTGACCAGCCACTGGGGTCAGAGAAGGTTCTGGTGGGAAAAGATGGGGGTGTGCATTAAACATTTACTTTTTGTAGTTGTATGTCTTTTTTTTTCCCGATGTTCTGTAATCCCAGTCACTGTGGGGGGTCTCAGTTTGTCTTGATTTTGTTCAGACACTTCCCACTAGCCGTCGTCATCATCACTACCACCCCATGTGTTTCGGGTGTTTACTTACCTAATGGGCTGGTTAACCTGCGAAGACCTTGGACCACCGGATGCTGGTTTCTCATCATTTCGGGTCTGGTTTCTCATCCCCTTTTGGCCTGATCTTCTTCCACTTCCAACGCATCCCCTTTTGGCCTGATCTTCTTCCACTTCCAACGCATCTCGAATGACGGGGAGCCCCTAGGAATCCGCTGCCACTTGCGCTTGCGGGACTTCCTGGCCTCGAGGTGCCGACAGTTGATGATCCAGGAGCTTCAGATTCTGGGTGTCGAGCTCATCTACGAGAAGACCTTGGATTCCTCGAGCCACGGATCGCCCTTTTTTGACGGGTCAAAGAGAGGTGGCCCATTTCGGGGTGTGAGAGTTGGATTTCGGGGAAAAGGCCTCGGTGCTGCAGCAGTTGGACTCTTTTGGTTGCGTGAGGGGCCATCATGGGGCCTTAAGGAAGGGTTGGGGCCTGGTTTTATTTCCAGGATCTCAGGGGCTTCGAATTCATCAATGCTCGGAGGTGTACTTCCTGCCAAGAAGTCCGGTTGAGAAAGCACTGGGCTTCCCAGGGGCCCGTTGACGGTGACGGGGTCCCACAGCGAACTGCCATGGAAAATGCCTGGAAGAAGTTCATCAGGGGAGCCACTGATAGTCCATCATTGCACCCATTCCCAACTCTTCCCTAGTCTTCCAGTGTGTTCATCGTATACCATCAATATCATTCAATAGCCATCCCGCCCCCGTGCAGGACCTCGAAACGGTCGAGGTGCTTTCCAGGCGGTTTATTCCGAGTGCCAGGTCCCAGTGAAGAAATCTCCTGTTACACTCCACTGTTAGTACATATTCCCCCTCCATGTCGTCGTGGCCGGAGGGGAGAGATACAACGCTCTGATTCACTGCACCTTGTTTTAATTCCCTCGAGTGCGCGCGGTGTGTCTGATCCTGTCATCCAAAGTCCAGATTCCACGGGAGCCTGACAGCTCTCAGAGCTCTGGGACTGAGCTTCGCGGCCGAGGAATGTCCATGAGGTGCTCAGCAAGATCGGAGAGATCAAAGAGAATCTAAGACCTCCTGAGCGACTTGGATCCACTAACAAGTCATGGATTGGGCCAGAAGTGCCTGGCCCTGGCACACCCAGAGCAGCTGCTTTCAGCTCCACTGTCAGTGCTGCCCAGGGACCGAGAGAGAGAGGAGAGAGAGAGAGAGAGAGAACCAATCAACCCATGCACTGGGAGGGAACTGCATGCAAGCGCGTAGGTGGAAGCTTCATAGCTGTTGAAGATGCCTTTTTCGGGGACTAGTCTTGACTCGTCCTGCGAAGCATTCTTCGCTTCGAGGGAAGTCCACCTCTTCCGTGGGGAGTCCGTGGAAGCGCCAGGACTTTTCGTCATGGTCCGTTCTGGGTCAAGGAAACGATGTGGTGCGGTGTGGGTCACACCAGAATTACGCTGCAAAGTTGCCATGGAATCAGTCAGTGAAATGGCGTCCATACATGGCATATTCTCCATTCTTCTAAGAATGTAACAAATGGTGTCCCTTGCAGAGGGGGCGTGCTTCCAATGCTAAATGTAATCAAGCCCATCATTGCCCACAGTTGATGCCTGTGCCTTGTTGAGCCTATGCGATTATGCGATGTGGCCAAGAGTAGACAGAATCTTGGCAGGTTATGCCCGAGGATGGTTGTGATAAGTGTTTCTTTGCCAGATGCATTTTGGCTCCATTATGTTGAGAGGCTGGATGCCTCATCGACTGCCATCGTCCTGAAAGAACAGCCACAGGGCCATGGCTTCCGAAGCTCATGGCGCAGGCCTCGGCGCCATGTATCGAGCATGCCTTCAGCGCGAGACCGACGGGTCTTACGGGGTGATGCTTTCGGCAGATGCAGAGATGACAGTTCTCGTCATTCTCGACTTCCGGGGCTCTCATGCGGTACAGAGGTGGAACCAGAAGCATCCCCAGTGTCCCATCTTGGTGGGACACGTGGTCGTGGAGGCCAATGGGGCGACTTCAGCGGGCGAGTTTTGCTCGAACGCTTCTGTCAGGACAAGGTGGATCTGCTGAAATCAGGAAGTAGTAGGACAAGTAGGTCAGGACCATTCCCTTGATGTTGGTGACCGAAATCACAAGTCAATGTACTCTGGCACATGTCCTCGAGACACATCCGTAAAGTTTCTTATTCTGGAACGTGTTGACGCACCGAGCGCGTTCCACGCGCATCAGGTGGTTGATCTCCTGATTCATCGAGAGCAAACTTCTCAGCAAGCGCAGGTGCACGCGTCAGCTTTGGTACCCTGGATCATCCTTGGACACATGTCTTTTTCGTTTTCGCCCTGTTGGGGCCTGCAGAGCACCCTTTGCCGTAAGCAGGTGGTGGCCGACTGGCCTGTCAGAGTTCGTCAGACGCAGCTTTGTAGAAACCTCAGTCCCCTAGGACTTAGCGGCCTGAAGCCCGAACCACGCTTCCTTACCAAGGATTTTGCCATTACAGCATCTATATAGGTCAACTGAACGGTTGGAATTGGTCTTGGAAGCGTTTTGATCAGTTTGGATGCGTTTTGGGATGTTTTGGGCCTATGGTTCTTCCATGTTCTTCTGCCTCCCAGTGAAGACCAACCGAGCTCACGGTGTTTCCAAGGCCATGCACCGGTGGTCCCAAACCGTGGAGGAGCTGCTCCATTCCGCGGGTTGCGTGGAACGCGCGCGGAGTCTCCGCGCAGAGGTCGTGGAGACCTGTGCCATTTGTCAGGACGACTTGAGTTTGGAAGCTTCGGAAGAGTTGAGTTCAGGTGGCTTTGGGCGATGTTTTCGTGAAACCGCGAGAGTTTGAACCTGTTCTCATGACCACCAAGAAAGAGGTGTTGAGAGGAAACCGAGGGAGGAAGCTTTTGGGGATGGTGCTGTTTGGGCTCTCGGCAGGTTTGTTTTCTTGACGTGGGGGTTTCTGGTCAAACCCAATGAATTACAGGCAACGCCATTGACCCCCTTTGTGCCGTGCCCCATCCTGGCCCCCTCTCGTGCTCCCAAAAAGCCTAGGGCTCCAACCATGTCCTCAGAAGGTGGTTAAACCCCCAAAACCCACCCCAACCATCTTCTCAGGAGGTGGTTGGAGCCCTAGGGAATTGTCCCTCTCTCTGGGATGGATAGCCGGGGGCATTTCTCTTCACTTGGACTTCTTTGGGCGATCTGGGCAGCTGAGGAAGTCGTTGCTTTGCCCTGCAGCCATCACTTCCATCACAGCTGCATCAAAGAGTGGTTCATCTCACAAAGCAATGCCCGCTGCCCCATGTGCAACCAGGTCTTTGCCCGAGCGTGTTAGCTCCGTTGTGGAGAGGGTTTCAAGTTCTTCACAACAGCAGACCGGTTGCCAAGTTGCCAGAAGATCCCACCCGGAAAGTGTTTAAGACTTTAAAGTAAGACTTTAAAAGAAGGCAAATAAGTTGGAGCTGCAAACACTATGACTCAACAATAGCAGGGTGCCATTGAAGTCAAATTGGCCCACAAGCAATCACACAACCAAGCATTCGTGTATTGGTGGCACCCTGGAGTCGGACCCTGGAGTCATCTTGGGTCGTACATATATGTACTGTAGATCTTTTGAGTCATATCTTTTCACCATGCACTTGGCTTGGGTCCCGAGGATCGGGTCATGACTTTTCTCACCAGTTCGAGTGCCCCTGGCCAGTCCGGCCCGGCCCTATTTTGGGCCGGGTAGACGATGGAGTGCCCGCCCCCACTTCACCTGGGCGAACTCTTGTTCGACTGGTCAGGAGCAATGATAGAAGAGAGGCAGAGTGAACTTCAAGCACAAAATGGCTCACCAAAGCCTGGAGTGAGATGAGGGGTTCGGGATGAGGATGGGCCCAATGTCTTTGATGCTCAAATCTCTCCAAGCTTGGTAGGACTGTCCGAGACTCGAAACGGTCGAACTCCGGCGAACGAGGCACCGCGTGTTCACCGGATCAGCACCGGTCACCGGACCGGTCACCGGACCGACACCGGGCCCCAAGGAATCGGCCACCGGAGCTGAAGCTACGGGAGGTGCGCATTCAGGAGACCGGGAGACCTGGGAACGGGAGCTTGGCGTAGGAGCTTTTTCTCTTTTTGTTCGGAGCTTGGTGCGTGGTGTGAACTGAGATCTGCCCAAAACGTGTCAGGTAGAAGCTGGCAGTGATCGATCGATAGATAGATAGATTGATAGAGAGATAAAAGAGAGAGAGAGAGAGAGAGAGACAGAGATTGTTTTCTTTTTTTCCCATATATCACTGTACTCTGTAGATTGCTATTATTTTAAATAAACTACGAAGTGAAACGGCGAGACAACGAACCGACCTAGAAGTGGTGAAGGGTGTAGTAAATTTACGTCAGGGATTCTCAGGTGAAGGTCTTTGTTGGCACACCCATCAATTTCTGGTAGCCCGCAGGAAGCTTGAGAATCAGGCGCCTCACTGTCCGTGGGTCAAAGCGCACTTGCCATCCCCACAATTGCTTTTTGACGCCTCCTCCGTGTTTGTGCCCAGATAGCGAGGACATCGCTGTGCGAGTGCAGGGCTTTGTTGGAGCTCGGGCCGGGACACCCAGCAGAGAACGTTCAAGACAATGCACTTCTGATACGAGCGGCATGGATCGGTACTGTATGTAGTTTGGTGTGGAGGTGCCGGAGGAAAAAACGCTTGAGAAGGATGATCTTAACATCATGGAGCGCGTTTGTTCTTGTGCCACGTGTCCCGTGCTTCATGTAGTCAGTGGCCACGACCAATTTCCTGCCGGGTATAGCTGGCTTGCTTCCTTACTGACGTTGGCGGCAAACTTAATGAATTGAACAGGATGCCCAAAGGTTGGGGGACCACAAGCAGCAAGGGACACTCTGGCAAGAAGAGAGAAGAAGAAGACAGAGAACCTCTGTCTTTCCTTCTTTTGTCTTTCCTGTAGTTTTCTTATATGCTTCACATCAACTCCGGTGGACCTCTTCCATGTTTGATGCCTTACCACAGTGCAGTACTTCTCCCACATCACAACTTTCACATACATCATCTACCTCAAGCAAAATAGATGGCACAACTTTTCAACCCTCAATGGTCCATAGTAGCAATTCTTGGATGCGGCCTGAAACTTTTGGGTAGGGTAGATGGCGCTCTCCGCAAATTTGAGTGGTGCCTAGCAGGACCATCACACCAATGAGAAGCGGAGCACCCTGTGTGTGTTGCATGTCTGTCTATATAATCAGTGCAGCAAACATCTATGCATGGTGCAACCATGTGCAACCTTATCTATCATCTTCTATCCGATCATCCGAGTCATGGACCTTCCAACCATCTTTTCCTCGCCACGATGTTTGCGAGGCAAACATCGCTGCGGCCGACTTGATCTACGAGGTGCTCGGGAACTGAGGGGAGTCCTGCGTCCAGGGGGTATACAGTAGACTCTTAGACCTGAGGGCCGAGGGCCTTAGGGGGTACCTGAGCCAAAAGAAAAGCAGACACTTGCTTTCTACATCGGCCCAGATCGGTAACAGCACGAACTCTTGACCACTCTCCTTCTTGACTTCATTAAAAAAAAGCAGAATGCCCTGACCAGTTTTGGGCCCCTGTTCGAGGATGTGATATGTTTCACCATGTGGAATGCATAGTGGGTTGAACTTGATAAATCTTAGAAGAACTGCCTCCTGCAACGGCAAGGAAGTTTCTCCAAGATCACTGGGGCCACGGCTTTGGCTCCTCAAGGTTTCTTTTTCAACGGACGATCGTTTCAACACATCTTAGGGCGTCTTTGAGTAAAAAGGCTTTAAACACATATGCGTGACGGACGGATGTTGGTGTTGCCGGGAACACGCTGGCTCTTGGGTTGCGGTCCGTGAGGTGTTGGTCATGGGAAGCTGATTCTGCTTTACTGGGTCAGCAACTGGTGGTTTAGTGCTTGCTGGGGCTAAGCATGGCTAAGCCAAGCAATTTTCATCTCTAGCTGGATTCCAGGGAGGGCTGTCCCTGGTGCTGTGTTCGCAGGTAGGCCAATTCTTCTCCATTCAGGCGGTGGGAGTGCGGTGGGTTCTCCCCATTGGGGCAAGCCCTGCAGGGACTCCTGCGCGTTTCTGAGCTTCAGGCAGCTGTCGCTAAAGCTCTTGGGATGGACCATCACCCAAATCTGCAAGTCGGAACCCAACTTTGCCTTTCGAATCCTTCCATCCATCCTTGGATGGCCCGCTCCTCAATTCGCTCCTCTTTCTGAACCGTTCCGGTTCGGTCCTAGTCGTTCAGAGCGGCCTACTGGCCAGCCCTACGCAAATCTCCACCGCGCCATGGGCGGAACCCAGAAACGGTAGCGATGCCCTTTGTTCCTAGTAGCTTCTTGTTACTAGTAGTAAGGCCAGGAGCTACTAGTAGCGTCCTTGCTCCGTTCGTAGAGATGCCCTTGGTTCCGTTCGTCGTGCCGAGGACTTCTCCGAGGAGGTGGGTCCTGTGAAGTCGGAGTTCCTCTTGGCCGCATGACCCAACAACCGCGGAACCGTGGGGCGCCGATCTCGCGAAGCCGGGCGAAGGGTCGGAACTCAGGTGGAGCATTGGGAGTGTTTGAATGGACGGAGGTGAACTTCGATTCGGAGGATTTCGGAGGTCTTGGAAGTGGGGGTGGCTGCAACATCCTTCAACCGCTTGTTTGGAACAAGCTTCACCCTAGCATCCCTGGCCTTCCAAGACCATTTTGAACATTGACCTGGTTGTGTAGATTTTTGTACTATAAAGTACATATAAGACATTATGTAAAACATGGTTGTTTGGGATCCAGGCATGTAAAGGCAATTCTATCATTTGTTGGAAGCCTATAGGGTTCAGCGGTCTGATGAGATGAAGCCTGCTTCTCGCCGCGTTCGACGGGTAGTGGTGGAGAATAGGCCGCGATGATTCGCGGCCTACCCAGGGTCATGGATAGCCAGTTGTAGCTTTAACCTTTTGGGGGGATTTTTTCCCCCACTCAAATCCAACTAGGTGGAACATCCGCGTTTTTCGACCGTTCTGCACTTGGCAGTGTCCGATCGAAGTGCCTGTCCGATCTCGTTGGCTTCGCCACCCAGGCGTTGCTCCTCAGGACCTTGTTGAAGAGTGCCGTCAGCAGCTCCACAAGCTTCGTCGGGATAGCGGGCGGGCGCTCCACCAGCTTCGTCGTTAGAGGATGTGGCTGAGGCGTATAGATGGCCAGCACCATAAGGACCCAGAGGCTACCACTAGTGCTACCACTGTGTACCACTGTTTCGTTTTCTTATTTTGTTTTTCGAGCGTTGACCTGTCGAGAACCATGTTTTACTTATTATAGTACTTCACCGCTGCAATGGTTCAAGTTTGAAGGAATTCAAGCGCAACACGAGGGATTACCAGGGGCATAGTGGCATACATGGTTGTCCCATTTGGAAAAGGTAGGCCGCAAAGCACTCTGACCAACCATCGTTTTCCACTATTGGTGATGGAATAGGCCTTGACGCCGTAGCTGGTATTCGGATTTGAGACCTATGAGGGCGACTGTCAAGGAGGGTTTGTTAGTCGCACGATGCGAGGTTTGTCATCTGGGTGGGTTATGAACTCTGCACAGGAGCATCATGACGTCCTTGACAAGTCATACGCGGGGTATTGTTTTGCTGCCATGCACTGGAGAATTGCTTGACTTGTTTCATTACTATTTGCTCAGGCCGACCCAGAGAAGGAAACTCAGAAAGCTTTTCCTCAAGGAGACCCTTGTACTTTTCTTGACCTCCACGTCTTGCAAATCTGAGCACGTTGGGTTGTCTGACTCCAAGGTAATGTCCTCGGTCTGAACACATTCCGAACTTTAGTCGGCTACGAAGCCTAGCCGATCTGGAATCTTAGGCTGGATCACGAGGCTGTCAAGCAAGAACTGTCCAGAATCTTGAGGGCAATCGAAATGACCAATTCGTCAGGCTAGACTAGTGCTCGCAGGCCCTAGCCCTAGGGCTCCAAACCCAACCACCACACATCTTATGGACACAGCAAGGTGTTGGTACGAAGGAGGGCCCTTTGACAGCCTCGTCGCTGGGAGTGTTTTCCTTCACAGCTCCCTTGAAAAGCTGCCTCTCCCCGCAAGGGGTGTTTCTGCGTGGTCTGACGGTGGCCCGTGTCTTTTTTCCCCCCCTCTCTCTATGGTGATTCTTGTGTTGTGGCTGGGTCTGGGCATTTTTGTGATGGCCAGCTGGTGAGCACATAACACTTGACACAGGGCAGACCTGGGCTGGCGGATAGGAGTAAGCTGCCCCCTGGAACTTAATTCCATCCCTTTTGAGGGACAAACTTCCGATGTGCTCTGGTTCATCAGAGCGCCTCACCTTAGACCCACCTGCGGCTGCAAAGCAGTTGGCGCGATGTGGAGTGGAACCGTTCGAAGCGTTCGCCGCGAACGGTGTTGATCTTCGGTCCTGATCACTTGGACGGTGGCGATGGGCGGAAGTGGAATGCAATAGATTGCCATCCATTTTGCCACAAAAAATGATCAAACTTTGGGCATTCTCATTATTTGTTTCGACTGCCTGAAGACTTCACCAAGCCTCCTGTTTGTGTGAAGGCTCACCGGCTCACCTCCTTCAGGGAAGGATTTTCTATTCCCCAAGAGCGGTCAATACCAACTGTTCTCAATGATCTAAGTTCACCCTTGCTGCAAGTCAGCAGTCCAGCACGTCGTTGGCCGAACTGTTACTTCTCCACGTTTTCAGATCTTTTCTTCCTGCACTTCCACCTGGACAGCAAGGCCTTTAGGAACACCCTGGAGTGCTAATTCGTCTGTGAAAGCATTCGGGCCGAAGGTCGAGAAAAGGCTATCGCTCGCTCTCGCGCCCGCGGTGTCAGCACGCCGCGGTGTGCGCGCGGATGGAGCGTGCCGCATCAGGACTTCTAAATCGACCTACTTCCCTCCCTCAGGGACATGTTTGGGGGGTCCCAACTGCCACTTCTTGGCGTTCCCTCCGCCGCAACAACGGGGTCCAGTCCTGGTGGTGCTGCTCCGTAGGACGGCTCAGAACAACCGCCTGTGCTGTGGGGGGCAGGATTCGGTTCGGCTTCTCGACCTGTGAGATGTCCTGATAGAGCGCCAGCAGCACGTTCATTCAGTGACCAGCTTTTCGCATGAGAGAAGTGTAGGGCATAAGATCCCGATCTGGCCCTATCAAAGACACCATGTGCTTGAAATCTTTCTGGTGTTTTGGATCTATCACGTTTCATGTCCGAGGCTCATCCCAGCCCTCAGTGCCTGCGCTTTAGGCCGCGGTGGTGCTGTGGGGTTTGGATCAGGGCGAGTGTAGCGAGTGCAGCCGCAAATCGCCTGTGACTCAAGGGGAGCCTGTGACGAGGAGTGTGGTCAAGGCGATCAGGTCACAGGAAGGTTTGGATATGGTCAAGGCGATCCACCAAGCTGGTGTGAGGCTTTGCGAACAGGACCATCTTAGAGGATCAGTCAAGTTTCTACTTAGTGTCACTGGGCCGGTTTCGGTGTAGTTCCAAGTGATTCGCACCGAAAGCCAATTCCAAAGGCAGTGCCTCAATCCCAGCTTCAGGGTAATTGTGTGACCCCAAGAATGACCATAGAAAGGAGTCATGTTGAATCCTGCGCACCAAAACCCTACCAAGTGCCCTTCGACTCCACCGTGAACCTGTGGAGCTAGAGCATTGAGACGAGATTTGTTTGAGGGTGGCGCAGTTTCTGGACCTCGCATCGCGGTCCTCGCGTTGCTCGCTTGGCATTGCCAGGTGCCGTGCTGGCTGGGAGACCCTGTGACGTGTGACTTCAAACCAGACTCAGTGGGGCACAGCGGAGCACTGACCAGGTCGGGAATGCACTTCGCCAATCGTTTTACTCAAAAACTTGCGCCTTCACCCCGCAAAAAAAAGCATGTGGACTGAGTGGGCTGAGTGGGCAAACTTGTTTCATCCACCACTTGGAGTTGGAGAACACAGGTTCCGCAGGTTTCACCCCTGCCCCTGCCGACAGTGACCAATTCTTTTCCTGTTCATCAGGGGGGCGGCACCGTAAACTAATCTAAGAATATACAGTAAGATAAAGATATATCAGATTGATCCACCGTGCGAATCTCCTGGAAAAAGTCCAGCAACCCGGGTGTCCAATCAATGAGACAGGGTGTTAGGCCGAATCTGTGGGAGGATATATATACACACACACACGTATATATATATATATACACACATATATATATATATGTATATATGACAATAGGAGCATGAGAAAGCTTTTCGCCGGGGCTCAAGGTTCGATGCCTGCAGCCTTTTCGGTTAGCTCCGTACTGGGGCTACTTAGGTCTGGCTTGGAGAGCAACTGGTGGGGGCTTGCGTGCCCATACCACTGCGGGCCATCGTCGGCCTGGTCCCTTTGCCTGGCCTTGCTGGCTGGGTTTGCTCTTGGCATCCTTTCTGGATTTGCCCTCTCTGTTCTCCTGGCCCTCAAGCTGGGGATCCTCTCCTGTCCTTCTGCCTTTGGTCCTCCTGAGGCACATCGGCCGAGGCCTTCTGGAGGCCTCTCACCGGGTGCGGATCGCATCCTAGCGTATTTGCATGAGTGACTCGGCTGTTGAACTCCTGAGGCTTCAAGTTCAACAGCTAGTGTTACGGGTGGACATCTTGGAGAGGAAGGTGGGCGAGCTGGAAGGAGGAAAGCGCCACGGCTCCGTTGATAGCTTTGAATTGGTCAACGCGCCCCCGAGGGAATCAAGTCCGGCAAGGACGCACTCGAGCTCTTCGACCTACAACTCCCTTGCAGGTGAGATCCCTGATCTTTCTCCTGAAGCTCTTCGCCTTTGTGCTAACCTTCGCGGAGGGAGGCTTTCCTTCAAACAGAGGGCAGAGAGGGCTTGGTCTGCTGGATACTGGTGCAGGTTCGCCCTCGAAGGTCGTGTGGGCAAGCCACGGCCGTCATCCCCTTGCGATCTCGCCAACACTACCTACGTGGTCGTCAAGGCCGAGGGACTGGCTGAGCCGGTCATTTGTGAGAAAGCCAGCGATTATCGTGCATTGCTGGGCGACTTCAGGTCGGGTGGCAGCCTATCCCACGGTTTCGCTTCGAAAGCGGAAGCAAGGGTCTACTGCCTGGGTGTGGGCATCCCATACCCTGAGAAGGTGTACAAATGGAATTAGATACAGTGACAACCTTGGTGGAGGACAATGTGGAGCTCTTCCGTTTGTTCTGGCCGCCAGATCCCCTCCTTGTGCAATCCCGGCCAGGTCTATGCCTTGTGGTTATGAAGAGGTCATCGGCAGGGGGCGGCATGTTGGTTGCAGTGCCCTCCTCCTTGATCCCCGCTGGAACCCTACCATTAGATCCAAGCGAGGACGATGTGGTTGGTCCACATTGTCATATGGAGATTGCTGGGGTGCGGATGACCTCATCAGACATGGAGCCTACAGGAACAGACATCAGTCTTTTTGTGGTGGATTTACATGCAGAGGCTTTGAGGGCTCTCACTCCTTTGGCCTTGGTCCCAGAGACAGAGGACCAAGGGTTGATCGGCTTTGGCGAGGACCTCGACATCATCCCAGACCCAGCTGTCCTTGTAGAAATGACCAGAGATTGGATTACAGGCCATGCAAGTCAACGAGCGGCTTTCTACTCCGCGGAAGAGGGAGAGGCGCTGCAGGAAGGGGGAGCAACAGCAGCTCCTCTGCCTCCTCGGGGCAGGGGTATCACTCCAGATCCCTCGCCCGTTCATCAAAAGCCAAAAGAGGCTGGAAAGAAGCGGGTGACCACTGCCGCCCTATCGGAGCAGCTGAATTCCCTCATGGAACTCATCCCCAGCATGGTCGATCAGATCTCGGATTTGAAGAAGGGTCAACAAGAGCTGCAGACTGCGGTGGAGCAGCGGCAAGAGGTGCCTCCTGTTCGTCCTACTCAGTTGCCGGTTTCTCAGGCTGTCCAAGGGGCGGCAAATTTTGCCAAGATGATGGGTCATCCTCCTCGTACGAAAGTTTTGGAGCCTGCAGTGATCCCTCGTCCTATCATCACTTCTGGGCTAGATGGCAACGTGAAGCCGCAGGAGCAAGCAGAGGAGATGAGCCCCTTAGCATCAGCGGATCCATTTGCCAGGGCAATGTTGGAGCAAAGCAAGGCCTTGATGACATTGGTATCTCATATGCAACAGGCTGGCGATCCACTTCTCGATGGGCAGGGCTCCTCATCCAGCGGCCCGTTAGGAACGAGAGGCTCGGTTGGTCGCGAAAAGCTGCAGAAGGAGTTGGCCATGAAGTCAGGCAATTTCTATCTTGCTGTGCTGCAAAATGCTGCGAAGCGTCTGAAGCCGGCAAGTCCCAAACCCAACTCGGTCGAGGAAGTCGCCTCTACGGATTTCTCGATGATTCAGTATTTGGAACGGTTCGGCGGCTACGGACAGTTCAAAGAGTTGGGGTTGATCCAGTATGCCCTTGCGCACATCTGCGATGCTCTTGTCCACTCGGATCTAAATGGAGCAAGGGACTACCTGGCCCTCCTCATGGTCGGTGTGGACCAGGCAAATCTGGATGGGAACCGATGGGAGTTGGCATACCGGATGATGTTGCTCGAGGAACCTCCTTCCCAGCTCTGGAGCTACCGCAACCAGAGCTTCGACCCTCGAGCAAAGAGCTTCTCGTCGTTGGCTCCTCAGCAGTGGACCACCGTTGCTTTGGCCTACTCCAAAGAGATGGACTACATACAGACCAAAAGGCAGGAGCTGACCCATCAAAAGCCCGGTGCACAACAACCACCGAACCCAAGTCAGACAAATCCAAAGCGAAAGGGCAGGTTCCCGAAGGCAAAGGCGGCTCAGCCCAACACGGACACCGGTCAGTCCTAGCCCAGGC